ACTGTACAGATGCCAAATAATTTCTTCAGATAAATGGTGACTGCATACATAATGGCTTTTATTTAGCTCTTCAGGTGTTTTCCCCTTTAAAGATATGCCTTTTTCTTCTAGTATCCTCTGCCATCTACTACATCTAAAGAAATTTATCCAGAATTACTTAGTTACTAAAATTATACAAAGGATAATACCTGCCCCTATCATCTTCCATGGAAATTGTTTAACGTTCAACAAATTATACATCGATAATAAATAGGGCTAATACAATCTTACTCTCAGTCTATTTTTTAAATATATTTACAGTACAGTACTTACTTTTCTTTATCTTTAGGGAATCAATGAAATACGAAACCGGGATGTGAGTCCTTCTCCGTTTGTAGATTATTATACACTGGTGTCCTTTATCTGTCACTTTAATAAGATTTAATAAGACCATTCATTTGTATATTGCGCTTGTGTGCGGATCCCGATTAGCATATTCAATGTGTAAACCAGCAGACGAGGCACTAGTGACATCTTTCCGTACATGTGACTGCCTGAGTCTTCCCGTCTCCTCATAAGTCACGTGCTCCGGGAGGTTACGTTTTCTTTGACGCCTGACCTTATACAGTATTTCAGCTTCCACACACGTTATGATGTTATATATGTTGGGTATAAACGTCAGTATTTGGAGCCACAAATTTCTCACTGTGGTTTACAGTTCTGTCGGTATAATCAATTTTGCCGAGGGTACTGTAAGCCGCCCATAGGTCATTATTAATACTAACCACTTTTACAAAATGCTGAACTAGCAGTGTGAGTATCAGCACTGCAGTCAGTCACAGGTATGATGAATTTACGTTAAAAAAAAGGCAAAAGAAACAGTTTCTAACTGTATGTCCCCAACAACCACACTCTGTCACTTTACAATCATGAATATTTAGAGTTTCCAAACTTGTTTTCGTCCACTTAACTACAACAGGCCCCCCCTAATGGTCCTATAAGTTCCTGGTCTTCCTGTAATGATCACACACCTCAGAACAAAGGCTTTTCCAATAACACACCACTGCAGCCCAGTCGTCCAACGTGCACCCTTCACTGGCCTAACTCAAGACTGCTCTAATTGGACGAGTAACAATTAACCACAGGCGAACAAGCATTACGTCACATCGAGACTTGTGCTCATTGGCCCAGTTAGAAGTGAACACCAAAAATATACCTGCGAACATTTATCGCTTTTCCTACATCAAAAACATCACGAACTTGTGTAAAAATTAAAATACTGTGCAGTGTTTTGCTTTATCAATATATTTACTTATTACCTTGCACAAGATTACAGCAGCAAGTGTGGATTTCGGGAGCCATTCTTCAGAGATAAATGTGAAGGAAATCAAATTATCATTGAATTATGTCAGATTTTGGTGGGAATAAGCCATAGTGTACTGCCTAACTTGAGTAGTTTAATATATTGCACTCTTTTTTTTATAGTAGTCTGATCCACCTAGCGGTCTCATCCCCATGTTCATATGATACTCTCTACTGTTCTCTGCTACCTTTAAAACCCTACAAACCTTAATCAGTAAAATTTTGACTCAAAGTAAATTTCTTTCTTTTCCTTGACTACCCACTTACTGTACTCATGCAGGTCCTAACAACTAACTTTATTTAACCACATTCTTTGAGGCACAGTTTAACCACTATAACTTTCACCTCAACTAACAGCTGTTTAGATTTCACAGGGAGTCAGAAGGCTGCACTCAACTGTCCTTTTCCCAACAGGTCGGGAGCTTCGTGGCCACCTACTTGATCATCATTCTACAGTTCCGCATCTCAGAAGTCAATTGTATTTCACCGTCTCCAGCAAACATGTAATAATTGGTCATATTTTCTAGTACATACTAGTTAAAACAAACAGCTGTAGTTACACTTTATGACTCACCGACCATATTTGTCTAAGAGAGCTTTACATGTTTAATGGCAGGATATTCTGAGGGTAAAGCTTTTACTACATTGCAGCCTTCTCGTCAAGTCAGATACAGATACAAAATTAATCCCAACTGTTCAAGTTGTTGTCTCAAGCAACAGTCTGGCTTAAAGTTACCGAGGCAAATACGCAACTGAAGAGCTAATCCATCCATTCTGTAATCCTTTGGCCAAAAGAGAATTCTGCATTCAATATATCATTCTCTTTATTAGAAAGCATTACCTGTATGTGCTTCTCCCGTTTCAGTAAGTGAAATCTGGTAAATCTTGGAAGAACTTTCTACATAAACCACAGGTTATGTAGTGAACACCATCTGGTAACTTTGACTGAATATGTCAGCCCACGTGATTAAGCTTCACCTTCAATACACCATTATTGGCTTTAACAGCGGTTTTGTTCTTTTAGCAGCCTAAGGAAGAATAAACTCCCTCTTTTAAACAAGTTCGTTAAAATTATTCAAAGTTTAGTGATTGATTTAACACCAAAAATTTTATATAAACTATGTGGTTCAGAGTTAAACTACTGTATTTAGTGAGTACGAGGTGAACCTACCTTAATATAAAAAAATTCAAATTGCACAAGTAAAAAATAGCTATTGATAAACAACGTGATACATAGCATATAAAAACAGCACATGACACAATTCACCCGGGCAGTCACCCAGCTGACTTGAGACGTGTGTGCATACCATGATATCACACCATGGGGAGAGCGCGGCCCACTGCCTCCACACAAATACCCATGCTCTTCATTTTTCTTATATTATTGTTCTTTAATTAATTTATTTCTAAACCACATGGAAGAATTGTAATGATTTTTCCACTATTATAGTTTTCATTACATGTAACAGTGACATATCTCAGGCCACCCCACCCTAGTTTTTCCCCTTGCCAGTGAGTCAAGCTATCCTAAACCGAATTTTGACCTACACCTGAAATGTTAAGTAAAAAAGGGTGTCAAAAATTTATCACTAAACCAAATTAATGCTAAGCAAGGGAGACCTATTTATGTTTTACGTTTTCATCCGATATTTCAGATGCCTGGGGTCTCGATACTTTTTGGATTCGTTGAACAGTACAAGGTGTTTGGAATGACAGAAGACAGAGTGTAAATTGTTAAGTGGTGGAATGGATAAGGAGAGACAGAGTAAAATACAAAACAATAGTGAATAATGTGCACAAGGGCAACATAGCAGCTGTACTGATAGGTGGACAACACCCAGATTATGAGACGGAAAGTTGGAACAACACATGAAGAAGCAAATAGGGGAAGGGATAGAGAGAACAGCAAGGAGATATATACTACAGTAATTGGTAAATATTTTAAGATAAATGATCCTCCATTATCCAATGAATTTTAACCCCTCATCAATATTGGATCTCCTGCAGATTAAGACACCCCAGTTTACTTCAAGTAAATTAAACTTCCTATTTCTAATCAAACTTCCAGTAACATTAGGGTGTTCAATCATCTAGTGAAATAATCCAGGGGCCTTAATCTTTGGGTGAGCCAAAATGTACTTGAATGAAAAAATCCAAATTTGTCCTTAAAAAAAATAAAACAATTAAATAAAAACTCGCTTATGTAAAAGCATGTAAATAAATAAGTAAAATTGCAATTGCTCTCGTCTCAATCATTGGTTTCAACCTGCCATAAGTTTGAGGCCCAGTAGGACTTGGAGCCCCGTGTCTTAATTAGACTCCATTTTAATGAAGAAAGCTGAAGACCCCAGTTATGTGATATGCCTTCAAAAATTGGCTTCACTAAGAGTGTAACCCATGAGAACTGGGAACATTACCATATAAAATAATACAGCTACAGTACCCCAAAAACCAGCGTCCCATTAACCGCTGAATCGCATACCCTGTAATTACATTTGGGGGAAATATCCTGAAAGCTTCGTTGACACCCCGGAGATCTGACGATAGAGGGAAAAGTAGCAGAGCTGTTTTAAATTTGGCAGGCAGTGGAGTGGTGCAAATTCGTGCCACTAGAGGGATCTGCATGCTGCCTCTTGACTCCTTCCTGCCTCTCTGCACTTGTTTACACTTACCATGTATCTCTTGATTTCATGTTATGCAATCTTTCTTAAATGCCCCGGTAATAGTTGCACAGCTTGAAGTGATGTGATAAGACATGATAAAGAGTGATGGACCAGAATAGATTGGTAGAGACTTAAACTTGCCACTCTACACTGTCTCTACCATCCTCAACACAGGTAAATAAGTCTCAATTTATACTTTACATTCCTTATTTAATGTTTATTAGGCTTGCTTTATACGTCTGCTTTATTTTCTTATTGGAAAGTGTGCACTACAGATATAAAAGGTAGAGTGGGATGGCCGGTCCCAAACCCCAATCTTGTTAAACAGTATTCTTATGGGATTAATTGCTTCAATAACCTTTGATTCACGAACCGACGATTTTTCACATCGGTTATCGGGATTTGCCTGTATTGTGTGATCCTGGAACATAACCCTATTTTTCACCATAGGTACAAGTGATTTAGAAATTGTAGTACAGGATATACTTCAGGTGCATCTCAAAAGTTTCCTTGTTCTACTCTATACATGTGAGAACCTTAACACCAAATTTCAGACTAAACGGTTGTGCATCTCACTTCTTTTTGTTTTACAACCAAGTCTTAAGCATAAAATATGTATTCATGTTTCAATAAACTTAACTTATTAAAAATAAGTTGATTAACCCAATCGTATTAGTCTCTTTTTTTTCTGATTACCAAGTTTTGAAGGATTAGAATATTTATTCATCAAAATTTAGTGAACAATTATATATTTGCGATGCATTCAAATAATGTGAAAGTCTGTCTTGATCCACTGTAACTGAGCTTGGGTGGACAATATGTGGCTAGATTCAACTGTTTCATCCATTTCAGCACACACCAGTGGATGGTTCAGGGCTTTGTTAAAAATGTAGGAACCATGAATCTTGGGTAAAATACTTAGTCTTGGCTATAACAAGCTCATAAGTGTACTGTATAGAGTACCATACAGTTTGAAAGGCATCTTCAAACTCCAGCAAAATTTAAGTTTTATTTTGTGACAGTAGAAATAAAGATGTTAAGACTTCAAGTGTATAGTTAGGAGCAAAAAGCATGGTGTTAATAACATTTCACCACTAGTGTGCAAGGCAAAACTTAATCATTAGTCGTTATCTTAACATTGTCCCTGATCTGCAGTGCGTTTCCTTGGTGCGGATTTAATGATATCGTCGACTCGGAGAATCATCTCTGCTGCCTCAGATGCCGACATCAATACTTGCCTCTTAACCTTGAAACTCTCGGTAATACCGACCAAATTCATGCAGTTCACAGCAGCACCGTCCATATCGAGACCCACTGTTGATTTGCCTTCTGCGTGAGCTGCCCGCAATTCAGCTACTAGCTGTGCTGAATCATAGCCTGCATTGTCAGCGATAATTGTGGGGATCATTAGCAGAGCTCGAGCAAAAGCGTCCATTGCAAGAGCTTCTTTTCCAGGGATAAGGACAGCAGCTTCCATTACTGCACGGGCCATTAAGGTCTCACTACAACCTGTTGTGAAGAAAATAATCAGTAATGAAGCTTGTATAATCTTACCTAGGAGTTATAGTTTATGGAGTGAAGCTTTAGTGTTTTTCATGGATACCACAAATACAGCTTACTGGATAATCTATTGCTTGTGTGCAGTATTTTCTCCATCTTCCCATGTCCATTCTTTCCAAAGTCTAGAACTATGGACAACTAATTTCTCATACATGAACTATTGTTTTCCCTACAATGTGCCATTCTTTTATATTTTAGTTTTCCATTTATTCAAGCACTTTGGTAAACCTCTTAAACAAACTTGTTTATCAGTGTATTCAAGTAGCAACTGCTTTACTGATGAAATATTTAAACCAGAATCAAAAATATTCTGCAGGTGCACTTCAAGCTTTCAAGGTACCTACCATTTATCATTTGCATTCATCTAAAAGTTTCTGTGCTTGCTGTAGGAAGTTCCTACCAATTAAAAAAGTTATGAATAAGCATTTATAATCATATCCTTCCTTACCTCCTCCAAACACTGTTCGCGTTTCCTTGACAGTCTGTGTAAGAACACACAAGGCATCATGCATGGAGCGTTCTGCTTCTTCAAGAATCTGGTTTGTGGCTCCACGCAATACAATGGTACAGGCCTCACCCAAAGCAACACCACTTAGGCGAATCATGCGATCTTCGCCAATAATGCACTGAGGGCAAAAGTATATTTATATTAATGTGGATCAACAACAAATGCTTGTGTTGAATTACAAGTAGGCATACACACATTTTCTCTCTCACATAATTCCTTCATCAACTTTGTAGCAAAGTTTTCTTGTGCAATGCTATACCGAGAGCGAATAAGGCAAAAGTAATAAGAGGTGTGAATGGGGGGGATTCATGGTGGAAAGTAAAAATTGGCCACGTGCAATCTGTAAGGAAGGTGTTCACGGCAACCCAATAATGTGTGTGTGTGGAAGATGGTTACAAAAGTGATGCACTGGAGAAGGTGGCTGACTGTTTTGTATGCACACATCAAGGCTGAGCAAACTCAAAATTGGGGATATATCCCTGGACTGTGTCGATAAATTCTGTTACCTAAGTAATAAGACCTGTGCCAGTGGGGGAAAATGAAGCCTACTCAACTGCAAGAGTCAGAAGTAGCTGGAGGAAGTTTAAGAAGTGGCTGCCTTTAATGATGACAAAAAACCTTCCATCAGCATGAATGGAAGAATGTATGTGGCTGGTGTGAGAAGTACGATGTTGTATGGCTGTCAAACATGGGCAGTTAAAGAGGATGGCATAAGCAGGCTCGAGCAAGCTGAAATGAGACTGGTGAGGGGAATGTGTAATGTGACTCTGAAAGACAGGAGACTGTTCAGAGTTTAGAGGGTGGCTGGGTACTGAAAGTATTGGTGAAGTTCTGTGTTGAGGCAAGCTGAGATGGTTTGGGCATGTGGAGAGAATGGAGTGCCATGAGTAGGCCAAGAATGATATGGGGAAAGGGTTGTAAGATGTGTCATTATATTTTGGTAACTGCAAAAGACCATGCATCATGGATTGTTGCCTTCTGTTAATGGCAGCTAAACCAACACAAGAGTGGAAATTGACCATAAAATGTTATATGATGATGATACTGAAGGGCGACCAGAACCAAGATTAAACAGAGATTCACACTTACTGCAAACACACATTCTGAAAGGGAAACACCATAGTAATGTACAACACAAGTCCCCAAGCTACCTGGTTCATCCCTGTTATGTTGCTTCACACTACTTACTGTACAAGCTTCTACCCCCCTTGATTTTACATTTACAGTAATACACTTTATTCAGATTTATTCCTTAAAATATGTTTCACTGAAATATGAGTATTGTTATTTTTTACTTTTCCAAAAGTACTCAAGGATTAATACACCCACTGCAGATTCTTTATAAATGTATATTGTATTTTCATTTATTAGAGGGGAGGTGTCACTGTATTAGAGAGGAGGTGTCACAATTTGTATATTCATTCATCATTTCCACAAGAAACCCACAGGTAACTAAGAATCATATGCAACACAAAGTTTTCAATGTACTGTACTGACCTCTTCAATTAAATCACAACGACCAAGTTTGACAAGATCTGGATTATCGAAAGTTGATACAATTTCACCACCAGTAACCAGTGCCAGACGCTCAATACCATCAAAGTCTGCATGTTCAATAGCCATCACACCAGCATCAGCAAATAGCTGCTCAGGGTAGTTGTATATCAACTGTCTGAAAAGTGAAATCTTGTTAAAATACATTTTTTTTTTTGGCATCTACTCAAATATTCCTCTCATCCCTTCACCTCCACAGTAGTAAGAGTCAATATACCATGATGAATGGTATGTACATAAGTGCATGTATGGTGCGAGTGCTTGGCACCCAATTTACCTTTAATGCTCTACCTTATATTTGCATTTCCATAAATAAAAATATTTTTAGCACAAGAACACACTGACAAACCATCCTACTAAGGCAGTAGTGTTCTGCTCTGGACTAAAGTTTCAACTTGTTAGACGCGAGGGTAAATTCAACAACTTTGGTGTACGTAATTTGGAGATTTGGGTCTCAATGTCAGAGAATTACTGAGTATTTTAAGTTGATATCACAAAAAATGTCTTGAGTACTTTAAACTGTCTCTCACATTACCTTACAAAAACCACAAACACCACACTTTGGGTTACTTCATCAGCTCAAATTCTACAACTATCTGCTCTCTTAATTAATTTTGGTAGGCTAAAGCTTTACTGTCACCACTCACAATCTTCTCAACTATGGGTTACTCATTTTCCCATCTGTTGCTATGCCTCATTTGCAAAATAGAGATTTTTAGGTACCCAAATTCCTCATTGTCCAACACTAGTGCACCACCACTCCTAATTTTACAATACAATAGATGTCATTGACCTATTTCAAACATCATCTTACTCTTTCTCACAATGACCTTTACAGTTCTAATACCAACATTACACTATGAAATTTATTTAAACCCTCAGCTATATTAAACAAGTCTTCTACACCCATGACAAATTGTTACTTACAAACCAAGTAATCTTCATGGACTCATTATTTTTACCTGTTAATAAAGACATTAATATCGTGCTTCAGGATTTTCTGAACCTTTGCCTTCATCTTCTCCTTCTCCGCTAATTCAAGTTCAGCAACCTATAGAAGAAAAATTAAAAGAATACAATACTTTGTAACACAAGACACCAACATCATGTAGCACGTTAATGTAATTTATAAAGGTTCGTAAGAGTGTACAGGTTATGTTAGAGCCTCTTGTTTCTGGACCATGAAATTTTAAGTTTCATCTTATATTTAATAATAAAAATAATAATAATAAAGTCTCGAGGTGAAATAAGTTCATAAACAATTGCTTACAACTGGTTAAGTGAAAATGACAATACGTACTTGGAAAACTATTCAAACTTACAACTATAAATCCTTCCTAAAATAGATATATTGCACACGGTTAACAGGAATATCTCAGTTCATACACATCACACTTGCAACAGCCAAGAGAATAATGTCAACTCTCTTTAAAATAAAATTTGCTATAAATCTTATTAACGGTTACAAAATACAGAACTGCCAGAAAAAGAGTTCTCAGTACTGTGCTGTATACCGTACGGCCACTTCCAGATGGTTTTCTTTGTTTCACCTTAAAAGTCGTCTTTTTTTCCACAAATATCTTTTAAGAGGAAACCAGTTACCATACATTTGTAATTTCTCACTTAACCACATATTTTGCCACTGTTTACAAACCTGAAAGTCAACAGGCATCTTCATAACACCACCACCACCATTATAACATGCACACTGATGCACTAACTGTACATTCTCACTGTACACTAACACACATTCCCTACAAAACTGGTGCATACTTACCATAACAGCATCAACATGTTGAATATTCACTCCAACACTAGCACTAAAAGTTTACTACAAGACTACTAATACTTATTCACCACTTGTTTATAACTAGAACAATATGTATACTGCAGCACTAGTATTACCCGTTTGCTACACATTAGTATTACACATTCACAACAGGAGACTAACACACAACTCACTCACCCTAAACATTTACACAATGCCACACTCTTACACACACTATGAAGAAATAACTCAAACTAACACAGTGGTACACACCTTTGCTGTGGACTCTACAGAGATCTTTGAACCAAAAACTTTGATTTTGTCTGTGTCCATTGGAGTGTTGGCAACCAATAGCTTGGCATTTTCAATACGTTTTGGCTGGTTAACTCCAATCTTTTTTTCCAAGATAAATCCTACAAGAAAAATTCACCAGTTAACATAATTGAAAGCCTTGATATTAGCTTCACATTTATTAATACCTATATAAAAAAAAATTACAAGAGAAAAGCAAAGAGGAAATTAAATGGAAAAGACAATATGGAACAGAAAACACAAGACTAAAAAAAGATGGATTGGATATGGAAAGAAAAAATAATAATATAGCAGCAACTTAAACAAATCCCCAGACAAATTGCCGTTCAGAAACATCTCACATAATCAAAAGTCACAAAAAGATGTAAAATCCTTATACCTTGACCACAAGAAATATTACTAGGGAACTGGCAGTACAGTACTACATGTAATGCCCAGTTTCTACTCTGTAAAGGTGAGACTAACCATTACTTTTGTTTTACTACTTTCACTCTTATACCCTCTGATGCCCTTCCATTTCTTTAATTTCTGAACTATTATCTTCTATCAACACCAAGTTCCTCATATACAACAACTGCCAGGGCAAACCAGCCTTTATCATGGTACCTCCAACACCAAGAGGAAGAGAAGGAGACTCAAGAAAGACCCTTGATGAACCCCTAATTTAACCTCACATTCCTCATCACTTATTGTTACAGCAGTTCTTGAGCCCTCATAACATGTCATAACCACACGAACAAGACAGTCAATCATAATACCACAATGAGTGATAAACCAACCTTGTGGCTAACAACCCATAAGGGGTAAAGTGGATTTAAGCTACTGAATACCAAGCCTTTGGTACACAAGGAGGCAGCATGGTCAGCACTGTATTTCACTACCGTCACTTCCCAAACTGTACAGTTAGGTACAGTACCCATTTACAGTTCAGTGGACTGGGAATGCCCTAAGTGACCCTTTACGACAGGAGCCAAGTCCTGTATCAACTCAACCATCACACCCCATAACATTTATGGTAACAGTAATATACAGTATTCCTATAAAACCCTACTGAATGAAACCCCTCAACTATCACCAGTACAAAACATGACTGCCCTAGACTGAACCAATACAGACATATTCACAACAAATAACATAATAAATCAGTGAATACGTTACTGTACACATCATAAATACCGATTTATGTAATGGGGAAGAACAGTACGTACTGTAGTTTACCACATACAGGCATAAAAGACAAAACTAATGATATACTATATGTAGTAGTATAATGGGTAAAAAAAATTAATCTGAAAAGAAAACAGTTGTCCAAGATTTTAGGATATACAGAGTTTGGTTAATATGCAACTTACTGCATCACTTACTAAACACTTTTGTGCAAATATGTTATTTTTAATATATTTGTAACATCAAAATAACCGTACCTTCATCAAGGAAAGAGTCTCCTAAAGTACCACCCTGCTTCTTAATGATCTGGATGGCATCAAGGTTGCCAGAACCCTTCAGCCTCAACACAGCATCTACGGCCAGGTTGGAAAAGAATTCCTTATGCTGTGCAAGAATCTTGGAACTTAGGGTAGTTTTGGCTATCTGCATGGTGGAAATAACAAAAAACAATCATTAATGGTTTACCTAAATCATTCACTGCAAAATCGGACATACAAGGGTGTCAGAAAATAAAGACAATATCTTTATTGTTCTTCATGTGAGTAAAAATGCCAAGTAGTATTCATGTATGTGAACAATTGAAGTACTATCTTGATCATGTACAAGCATTATGCTCCAGTGGCACTTACAAATAAGTGAACCAGAGAAGAGCAACACCCACCTCATTACCATCAGGAATATTGGACCAAAGTTTTACAGTTGGATGCCCTTCCTGATGCTTACAATAATTAAATGTACAGTTGGGGAAAACTATTCTTCCCCAAATTGCTGGTTCATTCATAAAGGTTTACTATGTGCTTTGCTTACTACTACACTCTAAGATGGTCTCCACTGGCCACAACAACGTGGGGGCAGAATATTTTTCCCCAACTGTACCTCAACAACGTAAATGTCATGATAATAACAGATGAAGGTAAGTCTTTTATGATGAGAGGTGGCGGTCATGAGTGAGAGGATGTGCTGGTTTCTGCATTGCCAGGCACAATTGATCATCTGATGTGTCTCCTCAAATTAGCCATTATCAACCGTTTTGTCTTCTTTTACCTTTGATAATTAAAAGTAGCTCTACAACACGCTGTTACAATAAAAGAATTTGACAATGAAAACATCCAGAAAGGAATATTGAGGTGTGGGTACGTCACTACAGCCACCAAGATCACAAAAGAGCCGTGTTCATCACTTGGTCTCCGCCGTATTATCTAGGCTGGTGCCCTGGGTTTGGGAACTTTGTGGTGATGAGCAGGTGAGAGATATTCCATCTGGTTTTACCCAACTACAATCAAGTAATTGCAGCTAACTCAGGCAAGTGTGGAAAATGGCCATAAAAGGTTATTGGTGGCGAAAAGAAAACAGCTGATAATGATATAAAACTATATAAAATGCTCCATGAGGCGACTGACATGAATGTGGGGAAAGTTAAAGCCTAAATCGTGGGTTCTTATGCTTGTGTGGTAGTGCCAGGCTGCTACAATTGAAACGCCCATTTCTCTGCTTTGTTTCTGCATGTTTTAACTGTTCAAACATCTTCATTGTAATATTATGATGTAAGCCTATATTTATCCAGTGTGGGGAAAAAAAAAGAGTTGATAATGACAAATTTGAGACTGTTGCTATCAGCTGTTCTGTAGCAGAGCAGCAGCCACTTAAAGACACTAGCTCATTACCTCCCCACCTCTTGTTACCATCTCATTCATCACTACAGGCTGCCTTCTCTATTCCTTTCAGTGACAAAGAGATAGATATATCTTGCCCAGAATAGAGTCAATAATGTGTAGTAACTCTGTTTACCAGTACCCAAATGAGTCATTTATATCGCCCATAAGTAAGTGTAACAACTTTAGGAACACATTTCCAATTTCTTTAATGTCGATGAGGAAAATATTTCACAAATTTAGGATTACATGGACAATTGTTATATACACCCTGCCTGGTGGAGGAAGGGTTAAAAAGGAACAAAACTTATCAGTCAATGACATGTCCACAATTTTTACCTACCATAAAAGATTTTGTTTCCTTTATTCCTTCACTTACAACATTCTATAGAATCTATGTCATTAATTAGATTAACAAACCTTAAATAGATCTTCTCGGAATTTGGCAGGATTGGCAGAATTGTCTTCCGCTGAGTTTTCTAAAGCTTCACGGGCAACATCTGTGGCTCTGCGATATCCAGATATAATTGTCTGTGGGTGGAGTCGCATGGAGACCAACTTCTCTGCTTCACGAAGCAGCTCTGAAGCTAGAACAACTACAGAGGTTGTGCCATCTCCTACCTGAAATAGTCACTCTTTGGCATTACAAAATGTAATTTTATTAACATAAGAGGAATTATAATAATTAATAAATGTTATGAAAGAACACCCCCACTACTATAACACAACTGCAGAATAATGAACAGTGTTGACTCTTCACATACCAAACTGATAACATACTACAAGTGCAAATTATTGACTGCTAAGATTATTTAAGATTTTCTCGGGTTGGAAGAGAAATGAAAGCAAAAGTAATGGAGTGTGAAGTAAACAGGGACAGGAAAACCGAAATGGGAAGTGTGTCAGCTGGTGTTAAAGATGGCACTGCTCGACTGCCAAGTGCAGATACATTAAAGGAAAAGAAGCAGACGAGTTTGGAGGTTGGAATAATGAAGAAAGTTATCATTTCATGTAAACAAAAGCAAAGCAATGAAACTAAGTAATAATGGAAGCCAGGTAGAAATAAATGTTAGAATGAATGTGGAGGATGTGTCAGTGAGAGGAACAATGAGTGGTGGAGGCAAAGAGTATCATGGGTGCATTGACAAGTATGAAACAGTACCAGCTGGCAAATATGGAGATACAGAGTAGAACCATTGAGCTGCCATTATCAGGTAAATGTTTAGTGCAATATAAGTAAAGAGCATGAATTTAAAAAAAGTTAAGGGTTGTGTATACTACATGACGGTGGCAGCATAAAAAATCACAAATGATGCAGGTTATGTGATACAGTACATACACACATACAGTATACCCAAACACCTTAACACACAAATAAAAGAGATGTTGGTTGCATCATTGGGGCAGCACCCTTGACAATGCCCTAGGAACATCTTAGCTTTAGAGAATATAAAATCAAAATCTTCCTTAAAGAGAATAAACAACTATACTGTATCATGATTCAGGTGTCACAAGGAAAGAGGATCAACTGTATAATACTTGTATGTACAGTATATACATTTTTACGGAAATATAAATAAATTAATAAAACTATACAACTTAACTACAGCACATCTCGTGTACAAAGGAAATGTTTAAATCCTTTTACATCTTTTTGCTATTTCAGTTTTATTACACATAATCTCTGATCACATTAAGCTGATTAAATTTTCTGAGTTTGGATTATGAAATTACATGGTGTTTTAAGCCTCACCTCATCATCCTGTGTCTTGCTGATATCTACCAGGATCTTTGCTGCTGGGTTATCCACACCGATGTTCCTTAAGATGGTGGCACCGTCATTTGTTACCTCAATCTGACCTGTTGACATAATCATTTTTGAACAATGCACATGAAGCCAAGTTACATGATTAAATTTCATGTTATACAGATTGACCGTATATTTAGCAACCTTAGGATCATTAGGATCCATTAAATAGTAGGTAAAAAATTTATGGTACTATATATTAGCCTCGGCTTCAATTAGCCCAATGCCCCGTGATGATCTGGACACCCGATAGTGAATATATTAATAAACAAGCACTGAAAATATTTAAATAATGGTATAATAAATAAAATAATAAGTTATATGTAAGAACAATTCTCACATCTCACTCCATGATCAGTCTTAGTTGTCCTCAAACAACTTTGTGTTATTCTCGGAGCCACGCTTCCCAAAAGAACAGTTTTCACACAGATCCTTGTACAGATTAATTAAAATTACCCAATAAATATAACACAGGAAAAGTGTGGGCACAATCTGCACCTGACGGCCATTCATCACCCACCACCATCACATCATCTCCACCCACTATTACAGCCTTCACGATATTAAAACAACAAACATTTAACAACTGCAAGATATCCGTAACAACGGATACTCGTCCACAACCCAAAAATGGACTTGAGGGAGAGTATTCGTAAAGTTGGAAATTTGTAATCAGGAGTGTCTGTATAGGCTAGTAGAGTATAGTATAATGCTGCTGAATGAGCAGACGAGATGGACAGATGTGAGGATGAAAATTGGAAAATTATGAAAATATTCAGAAAAATTCCCGAGGAAAGCTGTTACCTATGGCTTCTGCCGGCGCATTTCTATTGTGTAATTTGTAATATCTACAGTACTGTATGTAGCTATACATGACTGTTCTACCCTCATTTCATTTAGAGGGCCCTTCTGCTTACATAGGAAAAGCTGTAGAAAAGTATTTCTAATAATATTTTGGTGTAAAGTAATACCAATCACTTGGTGAAAATAAGTATCTGGCACTTTCTCAGCAAGCTAACCACGGGAGAACATCGTCACGAGAGTCAGCGACCCATCAAGTATGTGAGTGAGAGGAACGATCCTGAGCTGATTTCACGCCAACTTTATCGGCCCGTATCTCAGAACGAGTTTTTCTAACCTTCAAATCCCTAAGGCTCGGCCATTTATGGGCCCATCCTAATAAAACAAAAACTAAGTACAGTAGTAGAATAACATTATTGTGTATGGCTGAACATACAGATTTCTTTATATTTGGCTGGGTTTATTATTTGCTGATTTATCTTTATAAATACAGTAAAACCTTGATTAACCGCCCACATATGGGAGGAAGGGGCCGACGGATAATCCGAACGGTTGGTTAATAGTACATAAAGTCTACAGAAATAAAACATACATTTTCAAAGTACCTTTCCCTAACCTACCTCATTGAATTCCCTCTATTAATTTTTGTTGATTTGCCATTCATATTTCAATAGAATTTGCTTTAAAACATTAACCACTTTAGTAAATAAATATGAACCAGCACAGAAACCGTGAATAAAAAATTGAAAAGTCAAAGAACATATGTCATCACAAAAATTGTGACCAAGTCCCAGGTTGCTCATCTGACTTTCTGCCTCATTTACACACAATTGCAGGGTCTCAATTGCTTCTCTTACTATTGACAACACAACATACATATATTGTTTCTCACTCTTGATTTTTTTTCATTTTTGCATTTATTTATGGTTCTTTATTATTATTATTATCATCAATATTATTACATTATCGCCCCCAGGCCCCGATGTGGGTCAGTGACCTGTGCCCGGAAATAATAATAAAAAAAAGTTAGGAGTTCGGGATTGACGGTTAATCCGAAAGTCGGTTAATCGAGGTTTTACTGTACAGTATTTGGAGGAAAAAATGGTAAGTTAGGAAAAAAATTCATGCACCCAAAACGAAAGCAATAATCAGAAATATCTATATGTCACGGTCAAGAGGAGCTACTTACCTATACTGTACTGTACTCCAAATGAATTTCAATATAATTTAGCAAGAAGTTATGAAGTAGGATTTTGAACATTTATAAAAATAGAAGGAAAAAATAGATATTAGGGATTAGATAGAATCAATTCAGGGATATAGTACTGTAACAAGTTAATTGGTGTCCTTAATTGCCGACACAAAATTGATTGATCAATTATTAATGAATTTTGTGCTTCAGCCGGACACTCACCTTAAGCATCTAGAAGGTTATAGTTTTTCCTTACATCTTTAAATAGAACAAATATTTATATTTTGTATAACCATAATATCTGAAGACAATTTTATGCATAAAAATCATGAATTTTTCTCATTATGCTTTTAAGTCATATACCTGTACTGTAAGCCAACATCATACATTTCACACAGCTTGTGAACAGAAATTCTGTACTGTATGATGATCCAACCTTTTCAGTAACTATTTTCTCTAAGGTAGCCAGTGCGTGTCTTACGCCCGTATTATTAAACAACAGCTTCCCTTGAAGAGGGTCATCGTGTTTCAACCCGGGTTTTAAACTAAATGAGTCCTGAGGGACACCGCAGTACTGTACTTAACGGGGTGATGTGGCGTTAAAATTAACTTATTACAATATTATAAATTAATTTTATTGGAATTAGTTAATATTAATGCCACACCACCACGTTAACTACTGTACTGCGGTGTCCCTCAGGACTCATTTAGTTTAGAACTCGGGTTGAAACACGACGACCCTCTTCAAGGGAAACTGTTGCTTAATAATATGGGCACTATAATCTAGGAAGAACTAGAGCCAGGAGTATGGTACCTAACCACCTGTGTATGGAGGGTCTGTCCTCTGTGCTGAATAAAATCATCTGGCATTAGCCAAATAAAGTATTAAAAGTGGCATCCCACAGTGAGGGGAGTTTATGTTCACTAAGACATGTTGTGAACTGCAGGTAAAATGGTAATAATAAAGTCTTGTACCTATTGACTACCAAACACCAAAGAATTTCTCTAGGTACTGTACAGTACTATGGTTTTCTCTTGTACTAACACTCACCAAAAAAGATCATAACTGAGCACAGACCAACTGCCCAAATGGCTATTAAGTTTTCTAGTATTGTACAGAACTGTAGTGTAAATTATATATAGTATTCTAAAATAAAATGTCTTGCTGTCAACTGCAGTGCAGTACAATACATATCTTAGCCATGTCTGGCAGCACCATGTTGCAGCTGTATAATGTAACCAACATGAGCATCTTTACATAAAGTTTAATATCCATGTTCATCCACTTTTATTGAAAATATTGTGCCCTTTATAATTAATGTGTTTGGAAAGCAATACAGTAGACCCTTGCCATTCATGGGTTTGTGATTCGCAATTTCGACAAATTGCGGTAAGCCGATGGTGGCAAGCTTGTGAGCCTTTTCCCGCAGCACAACGAGTCACCCCATGCAGCATATAGTGTTGTACTCTGAAAACTTTAATGTTTCTGTGTGAAATGGCCTCTAAAAGACTGCCTTGTGTCAGTGCAAGTGATGCTAGTGGAGTGAAATGTAAAAGACAGAAAACAGTGATGACCTTGACAAGAAAGTTGAATTATTAGATAAGTTAAAAGAGGGGATGAGTGCTGACGTGGCTGGTCGGTTGTTTGGTACAGGTATACAGTAGTGCAATAAGGAAGTAGAAGTTGCTACTTGTGGTTCTGCCTATTCACACCATTCCTTGGAACCTATCCCTCACTAATAACAAGAGTTTACTGTAAATAAAAAACCCAAAGAGTTTGTACAGTATTTAGGAGTTGGTACAAGTCTTTTCTGTTTCTGAATCAAAATACAGTTCAGATACTCTATTATTATTTTGTTTTATGGTAGTGCTTAAACAGTAGTTTGAATGTCATGAAATAAAGGTAGAATTGGGTCAGGGCTAAATGGACAACTACATGACATAGTGATTGAACACACATTTAATTGGCATACAGTATTTGCCAGATAATGTTTTTTTCTATAACAGTGCCAGTAACAGGGATTTGCTGGTCCATGGTGTACTGATTAACATACCTTCGCTTCTTCCCATGGCCACAAGAATTTTGTCCATGCCTCTAGGACCAAGGGTAGAACGCACAAGGTCTCCAACTGCAATAGCACCGATGAAGGAGGAGAGGCGAGCTGTCTCTGATCGCTCCTCCTCAGCCTCCGTCTTCATAATCTGGACTGGATTAAGTGCAACAGCCTGGAAAATAAATAAATATATATATATACCTATACCAGTAAATAAACTTAGCATTCTTATGTCTATATTTTAATGATGTGTTCTAAGAGTACCTCAGAGAAACTTCCAAAGCCATGATAGACAATAATGAAGACATGTCAACCATAGACAGTGAATGAAAAGCTCAAATCCAGTCACACTTTTTACACCCCACAAACTTGAACTGTCTCACTCCACCACTCATATTATAGGAATAAGTGTAAAAGATGCAAGTTAAGGGACAATTCTAATATCATTCTAATATACGGTAAATGGATATTAACAGAGATACTAAATTCACGTAAGAAATTAACATAAATCTGCAGTCACCGCATGTCGTCTGTTCTGTTTACAAATGACCCACTCAGTCCAAGGGTACTCTCACGTCCACAAAAAATATAAAATTACACCATGATGCTTCAACAAAGTTGCTTTCATTGTTACAAGATATCCAAATAAGTACTTTGTTTCATATGGCGGGGGCAGCTATGAAGTTAGGTAAGGTTAAGTAGGTTTCTTTGGTTGGTTAGGTCAGGTTCTATGTGGGGGTTGCTAACTCCAAAACAACTCATTTCCGATGGAAATGAAGGCCAAATTCAGTATTATTGCAGTTTCGGCCAATACATAGCCGACTGTTTCAACCATCCCCAACCTTTAGATCTCCTTATGTGGAGTATTTCTAACGGCATTTCAACCAGAGGGCAAAGAATAATGACTTCGGAAATGAATTTTGAAGTTTTTTCCAAAATTTTACAACAGTCTATGGCCGTGCATTAGGTTAGGTTTGGTTAGGATAGGTTTTTTTTTCTGGGGAATAGCCCACCCGGGCACAGGTCATCGACCCACAACAGAGCCTAGGGGGCCAAAGAAAATAAGAATAAAAAGAAATTAGAAATAGAAAAGAAAAAGATTATATTAATCTACACCACGAAGATGACGGAAAACCAGCTTTTTGAAGCGAGACATTGTATGAGTATGGAAACAGAGAAGAAGGCAGAGCATTCCACAGTTTGGCTGTGTGAGGAAAGAAGGATGTACAGTACTATAACGGGTTATTCTAGTGTGACCGACATCCACGGAGAAATGATGGGCACCGTGGGCAAGACGTGTGTTACAAGCCCAAGGCCTTGCCAGTGGTACACAGAATGCCAAATCCACCAAACATTGCCCATTAAAGTACCTGTAAAAGGCCTCCTAGGCATGAATTTGTTAAGGTGTCGAAGCTGTCGCCAACACAACAACCACACCCTGAGTTAACGAGCTGCATGACACAGTGTCACGGAATAGTCCGAGAAGACTGGACAGCTCACCAACTGCACTGGCTAACCCTTACCCCAGAATATGATCTGCAAATCGATTAATATACAGGTTCCCAATTACTGCTGGGTAGACAGAGGCAAATGGCGTAAAGAAACTTGCCCATAGTTTCACCCAGCCCGGGGATCGAACTCGGGTCTGCTCGCTTGCGAGGCGAGGATGCTGACCATTACACCATGCCACCCAAGCACACCAACAAAATGCTAGGTCTAAGATAGGTTAGGTTAGGTGAGGTTAGTAAGTGTCGATTTTCCCGAGGAAATGAAGGTCATTTTTTAAGAAAACGCGCCAAAATACGGCAAAAATCGTTTTGGTCATCCCCCCATTTGAAATTAGGTCAGAATCATTCAAAACACATCAAAAACCATTGGGAAAAACATAATTTCAACCTAACCTAAACCTCTCGAAGTGGTAACTTAAAATCCAAAAATTCACTGGATGAGCTAAATGATAATACCCAAAATACACCAGAAAATTTATTTTTGTCATATAAAGGACGGTATTATTGTATTTCCGCACCCCACATTCCCACCCCTAATCTATTATCATATTCAAATAAGACGTCTAATTACAAGATAATTTTCTTCAATTACATTACGTCGCAAATGTATAATAACGGAGATAGCGTATCCAAAATTTTATTCTTTTTAAATCCATTAATCTTCCGCCATTATCGCCTACCTCACCTCCCACACTGCATGTCTCCTTCATAAATAATCACGCGCATGCGTTCCGTACACGTCACACGGCCAATCAAAAGCGCTTTTTTTTTGCAACCAATTAAAATAATTTGTCGTTTAATTCGCTGTATTTTTGGCCCAATCAAATTCGATTTTTATTTTGGGACACATACTTCAAAATTCAAATTAATTTCCCACCATGGAAGTCTGCGATGGGTGTCACTTCATATGGAGCCGATTGCGAGTTTTGGGGAAAAAAAGGAAGAAACTATAGCATTTTTTCGATCTCATGGTGTTCTCCCGGTCTCAGTGAAGAGTCCGAAGTGCAAGACTGAATGTAAATATCATCAAGACTAACATATGTGGCATTGTGGTAACTCGTCCCTTATCCCAAGGACACTGAAGACGGCCAATAAGGTAAGAAATAAGTGACTCCATCATATGGTGAAAGTCGATTAGGTTAGGTCGGGTCAGGTTTATGTTTTTCTAGTGTTTTTGTGGGCATTTTGTATTCGCTAAAGCCATTATTTCTTCAGAAAACGCCCCACCCAAAAAAAAAATCGATAAAAAAAAACGGCCAATTTCTGACGGAAATGAAGGTCATAACCGATCTAAACACACATAAATACACTAGAAAAAATATATTTTTTACATTCTAACAGTTGGGTGCACTAATACAAATTTACCTACTCGAGAAGGGAACAATACTATATAATTACCATTAATAAATATTTAGATTCCGTCAACTACATTATTTTATATCAATTTAGTATAAAAATATGAAGCTAATTTATAAACTTCTGGTGATAACTCGTAACTATCTCCAATATTACCGCTACAACTTGGTTAATTCTGTAATGACTGACACACCTTCACTCAACCATCAACTGATCAGCCTCTCAGAGTTCTAGAGTTGGATATTGCAGAGACATTAAAGTTCTAGCTTCAAGAACCAACAATGCCACCCAATAAATGATAAATTATAGTGAAATTCTATACTATTGGTGATTTATCTATATACCCAACACTGGCTCCATGGCGTCCAGCACCACGCAGCCTGTACTATAATCTAACATTACACATAACTATCGTCTTATATCATTGATCTACTCACATAAATATATTCCATCTATAATAAATAACATATAGGCAAAACCAGAACAATATTAAGAGCTTTTCCTACCATTTTGAGGAGAGAAATGTGACCGGCGTGGACCTACTCGTGCTACCAGTGACTCACGCGACGCCTCACCTCACAAAAAAAATAAACTTTATACATTTCTTCAACATTTAAAACACCATAATTGACAAATATGATAGAGATAATTTATAATTTTACTTACCATTGTGTTGTGGTTGATCAGTAAGCGCTACCTTAAGACGATGTTAACTCTGGAATCTTCAGGAAGGTTCTCAGGCAGCACTGACTGAGGGTGATCCGCCTAACACTGTAAACCCTCTCACATACAGTACATTCTTTTAGGGTTATTATATTTTTTATTTTTTATCTATTTAACTTCAGATATATCAACTAACCAGAAGGAAATTCTTAAAGTTTATTGAACACTGTTATTGTGCTGTGTAACCTGGGCATGTTTTTATACTAAAGTTTGGACCTTATAGTAAATAAGCTCCAGCTTGAGTAGGGCTTGTTAGGTGTATTTATTTCAATACCATCATCGCCTTCAATGGCTTTCTTAGGCTATGTCATATCCTAATATGTCATGACACTTGCTTGTCTACCCAAACCTCACATACCGCACCTGCTTTTGTCTAACCTCCTAATAATGACCGCGTTTATCTCCTCAGTCCTGATCCAACCATGGGGGGGGAGGTCACCTGGTAATCCAATACAACTTCCTTTCCCCACCAGCCCAGTGACGCCCTTGCCTAATATTAACCTAAAGTAACGGTATCCTAACATAACCTTAACCTAACACAACCTTACCCTAACTTAATACTAACCTAACACAACAGTAACCTATTATAACCTTAACATACTATAATGTTAACCTAACACAACCTTAACCTAACCATTCCTAACCTGATGTTACCTAAAAAATACTCCTAACTTGATATTTAACCAACTATTACATTAACAGAATACTGTATTAAGTTAACCTAGCATAACCTTAATTTAATATTTTACCATTTGTCCTATATACTGTATCATTTTATCAAGATTTTATGCTCTTATTGTGTAAGTCGTCGTCAATTTCAATTAAATTGTTGAAAAGGGATGGCGAAATACATCTTTATGCAACCAATTCTGTATACGGTAATAATTATCCGTTGCACATGACTGTTTTCTTTGGTGAGTACACATCTCACGGCGAGATTCTCACCAAAGAAAATTTTGCTAACAGTATAAGAGTAGAAGCGTTTGTCTATAAATGTCTTATGTTTGTAGACTAGTCGGCCAACATATACTGTACATTCTGTGCCACTAGTACCAGTGGCATTAAGCTTACAACACTATAGAAAGGGAGAGCAAAGTGAGGAAGCGGGCCCCACAATCATGATGCTTGACACATACGAACAACAAGGGGAAGAGGACTTGGAGGCGGAGGGTAAGAATGGTGACACCAAACCCGGGCAGCAAGATTTTCATGACCCTGCTGGCATGGACGTGGAAGGCGTCATCGAGACAAAGTGGACAGAGGTGGCTACAAGCTTCGATGACATGAACCTTAAAGAACCTTTGTTAAGAAGCATTTATGCTTATGGTTTTGAGAAGCCATCTGCCATCCAACAGCGTGCTATCCTGCCGTGTATCAAAGGTTACCATGTTATTGTTGCCCAGGCCCAGTCAGGCACCGGAAAAACTGCCACCTTCTCCATCTCCATCCTCGAGCGAATTGACCCAAAATCCAAGGAGACACAGGCACTTATTCTTACGCCGATCCGAGAACAAGCCCAGCAGATACAAGAGGAGGTGTTGGCCCTGGGGGATTACATGAATATAACGTGTCATGCATGCATCGGTGGCACCAACCTGCGGGAGGATATGCGGTACCTGGAAAAGGGTGTTCAGATCATTGTGGGTACTCTTGGTCGTGTGTATGATATGCTCAAACGTAGAGTGATTAACCCCGGCAAGATCAAGATGTTCGTTCTTGATGAGGCCGATGAGATGCTGTCACGTGGGTTCAAGGATAAGACATACGATGTTTTCCGGTATCTTCCCAACGATGTACAGGTGGTATTACTCTCAGCCACCATGTCGCCTGACGTGATGGACGTGACCTCCAAATTTATGCGTGACCCCGTTACTATCTTGGTCGAGGGAAAGGAGCTCACCCTCGAGGGTATAAAGCAGTTCTTTGTTAGTGTGACGAAAAGGAATAAGTTGAAAACCCTTAATGATCTGTACAAGACACTGATCATCAGTCAGGCAGTGATTTTCTGCAACACCTGCAGGATGGTGGACTGGCTGATGGCTCAGATGCAGCACAGAAACCCCAGAGTGTCGGCCATGCACGGTGGCATGAACCAAAAGGAAAGAGGTGCTATATTGAGCAAGTTCCGGTCTGGTTCAGCTCGTGTTCTCATCACCACTGACCTGTTTGCCCGACTTCCCGACATCGACGTGTCCCTGGTGATCAACTACGACTTTCCTTCTAACAGGGAAAGTTATATCCACAGGATTGATCCAGGTGGACGCTTCCACCGAAAGGGAGTTGTTATCAACTTTGTGACTGCTGATGACACCAGAGCTCTGATGAACATTGAAAAATACTACCGCACTTCCATTGAGAAGATGCCATCGAATGTGGAGGATCTGATTTAGTTCCTGTAATGTGCTAAGTAAACCACAGATATCGCTACTCGAGTATCCGGTCGAGAACTCAAGTACTAAATGTTGTATTAGGAAGAGGAAAACATACAGCCCAGATAAAGTGTGAACTGTAGATAGTGATGGTGTGTTGGACATGGTCTCCTGTTGTCTGGGTGTGTCTCGCCATCGAAAGGCCCCCACCCACACTGAGCGACTCTAGTACGGTACCGCCAATAACAGGCCTATCTTCCTTACCATTTTCCTGGGTGCTCACCCACTACCTGGGCGCAGGTTATACAGCGTATCATACACAGCAATGAGAAAAATTCGGCCCTCTCATGTCTCTAAAGGTAAATTCCAACTACATTTACAGCTGAGTGAACTGAGTGTGCCTGGGGATAGGACCACCGACCCATGAAACAAGGGGCAAGACTACATCCACTTGACGGTTGCTTTCATGTCCACAAAAAATATAAAATTACCTCATATAACAGTAATTTTTTCTGTTTAATACACCGAGGGTCCGTGGCTAGGAAGTTAGGTAGGTTTGTTTGGTTAGTTTGGTGAAGTCTTATCACAATGCTTCCGCTGCTTGATTTTCATATCAACTACGGTTAGGTCAGGTTTAATTTAGAAATAACCACTTTTTAACACATCTGCACAAACTACGACAGTGTCCACTTTAAAACACAGAGGAAATGCGGCGTTTTTATAATTATTATCTATTAAAAATCGGAGGCGGGTCAGTCATCAATAATTACCTCTATCAGAAGACACAGTTAACACATTATCTTAGCAAATTGAAAGACGCAGTTAACAAATTACAGTATAAACATTGTTCATAGTGGACAGATGGTAGTGTGGTAGTAAAGGAAACACGTGTAGCTCAAGTATTTTTTTAAGATAAAGTCGGGATGCCTAAAATCTAATACAGTACTGTACTTGATAATGACGTGACCGATCGCCCAAGCGGTTAACGAGCCGATCAGTGGTGATGAGGATAAAAGTAATGTACTGTATCATGGTGTCATCAAAAGTCATAATGGTGGGACAATTTTTATATTAAAATTCATGTTGAATTGTACAACATTAATTATCTACTAATAAATCCTATGTATTTGGTTTTAGTAGCAGTGAAGGTAACCAAGTTGGATATAACCTTAAGGAATGTATGCAAGGTGTTCCTGTAAAGAACTTCATAGGATGGTTCAGTAAATTACTTTTGTTATGTTTATTAAGGCTCTACGGTTATCATATACTTGATTAAATAACCCCACCTGCCATTCAGGTAGGGAAAGTGACAGCTACAGTCATAAGCTGGTGAGCCATGCAGGTCAGCAGTGACAATGAGATCACGTTACCGATAGGTGAGTTATTTGACCAATGCATATGATACCTTTGCCTCAGTCAGAATTTTTTTTGCGACGGTTGCATCAGCCTGGATCCGACCCTGCCTATTAGCTCCCGAACTCTCTCTCTCTCAGGCACTGGCCAACAATTACCAGCAAAAAGAAATCGGGACGATATACTTTAGTTATCCCTTGTAAATTACTCTTTTGTGTGTGAATTGCAATTGTGAATGGAGGGAAGGAGGGAGGTGAAGAAGTGATGGAGAAGGGGTAAAAAATTAATGTTGGCAACAATATTTTAGTGTGAATTGTGATTGTGATGAGAGAGAGTGAAGAAGGGTGGAGCAGTGAAGAAGGAAGGGAGTGAAGGAAGGAAAGGAAGGAAGGAAAGATGCGCTTCCCAGGTATTTACATTCCGTGTCAGCGAGTTAAGCCCAACATGGATTTTACTAAGCCTAAATCTTAAGGTGTTAAAACCTAATTAATGTTTATGTGGATTATCGTAAAACAGATGATCGTAAATAGGGGGATACCTGTATTTTTTCAACATCTCCAGCTCCAAGATTCCCAAAGGCATCTACAAGTGGTCACAACATTCAAGACGAAGAGTTTATCACTTGTAGTTGATTCCTTAAATGAGGAGACAGAGGAAGATGGCTCTGTCTTTTCCACCCACTAACCATTTATACCTTCAACCAACAATGTTAGACCAAAATACTGAACTTGTTCTTTTCATATGTACAGCACAGTACTGTGGATGGTAAGGCAGGGGTTAACACTGCCTCCCAAATGGTTTAGGTGTTGGGGGCAAAAAAATTAGGATGATAAGTTGGTATAAGAATCTGTCTAAATGTATGAAGAACCACAGATGAAAAGGCATATACTGTACTGTACTGTATTGTGTATTTTCACAAGTTACCCGCATAAAGTTATGGGAAATATATTGTACAAGGGTCCCGGGTTATGAACGAGTTCTGTTCCTGAGGACGTTAAGTCGGAAATGTACGTAAGTTGGAACACACACCCTATGTGCACTATATCATAGCCTAAGTCCTTTTATACATCTCAAATCACTTAATTTAATAGAAAAGACGAAATAGTATGACAAAATACAGTTAAGGAAAGTAAAAATTAAAGTTTAACTTTCATTGAAACATGGGACTGGCTGGTCTTCCACCCATATCACTAACAATCTTTCCATTTCAATTACAATCAACTTTTGTTTTGGTATCACAGTTGAGTGCATTGGTGTAGATCCTTTTACATATTCAAGAATTTTCTGTTTGTCTTTCAAAATTGTTCCGATTGTTGACTGACTGAAGCTCAACGCTTACCAGTGACTGAGGGTGTTTTGCCTTTTTCAGAACGTTTAATTACATTAACTTTCACTTCCATTGTACCCGTAATTGTTTTCCTTTTCTTGGATGCTCTATCACTTGCAGCAGGTTTGCATTCGAGAGCCATGATGAGGGCCGAAAAAGAATTAATAAGCAAAAAACAACAATTTGCACTTGATCACAGACGTTACTACAGGTTAGGGTAAGGCGAACTGACGCCCCCTCAAGGTGCGTGGCTGGGTGATGCATTACTCCCCACCCACCTCTCCACCAAGCCATGCAAACTAGTTCTTGTACATTAATATTGCACTATGAACCAGTTGTACCTATGTCGGATTCTTAAAATAATTGAGTTTATGGACCTTGTCCGCATCAGCAGGTGTTTGTAAGTCAGACGTTCAGAGTAACGGGATCCCTGTATAGTAAAAAGTTTATTATTTGGTACTCTTTAGTAAACATCTTCTATATCTGCCAATACAAATGTACATTGTGGTAAGGTACAGTACTGTATATATTAGGCACAGTACAGTACAGTACTGTACAGTTTTATTTTTAAGAGCAGCATTAAGTGCATTTTTAAGTGATGAAATGCACTACCCATATTTAATTAAATATACAGTGTCCACATAATGTAAAATCCAAGTTACATAGTTGAGGCATTTTTATGTTAATTAATAGAGCTCGGTTATTACCTGCCAAATTGAATTAGGTGTGAATATTCTCATGTCAACTGAGTGGTGCTTTACACAATATTTCTACAAAGACCGTGTGTGCATTTAGCTGTATCCTGGTGCAATTACTGTACACCGGTTTCTGTCAAATTCTGAAGACAAAACACACACACATTGACCATCACCACGACCTAATCTGCAAATTTGGTAAGAAGCTTCTACACCATCCTCAACACCGCCCTACTACCACCTGATATCCCTAGCCCGAGAATTGCTGTTCGACACCACAACCGCATCCAGCCCATACGTGCATGAACTGATCGCTATAAGAACAGCCCAGTCCCAACCATTGTAAAAATTATCAATAACTTGTATAAACCAGTGTATTCACTCCCAGTAAACACTACTCCTTGCACTGTCACTATGTTGAAATGCCCTTGAAATGCCCTGTAGTTTGAGCTTTTCCTCATGTAGTTATTATATATCTTATTTGTATCACTTATGTTATTTTTATATTATTTGTAAATTGAAACCCATTCCCAATTATGTAACTGTATATTTTCAGCCTTCTGGCTGCCAAGCTCTTTCAATAAACAGTTAATTATTATTATTATTATTATTATTACTACACACATCACCATATTAGCCTATCCATTTACTCTCACAAGAGTCACAATGGGTCCCAAGAACAAAAAAACTGGTATTCTTGCCCTGCTGAGTGAAAAAGTTCCTGTGAGGGAAATCTAAGATGAGACACGGCAACAATAAGACTGAAGCAACTGACACTCAGTCTTCTCACCAACGAGGTTCTACCTCAGAAATTGTCTCCTGGGAGGCCATTGTCATACTTATGAGAGAAGTGATGAAGAATCCTACAATCTCTACAGGAAAAATGAAAAACCACCACCACAACCTCCTTCAAAATATTTTAGAACAAATGAATCAAGAACAACTACAAGAAAGACTCCTTGTGAAGCTATAAGAATATTCTAGTGCTGGAATGGCCTGGGAATTCACTGGATCCAATACAGTATGCATGGAGTCAAATGAAAGGCAAGTTGTCAGTATGGAACACATCATGATTACCTCACCTGCAAGAGATCAAGGACCTGGACATTGGAGATGGTTCGTGATTATTTACAAACTGGGAAAAATTTTAAAATACTAAATAATATATGAAAACGTTTGTATGCATTTTACAGTTTTATTTACCCTTAACTTATATTTTAGATATGTCATGTAAAAAGGCTACAGGAGTCAATATTGTTTGTGGATACTGTACTGTAGTGAAACCTCTATATAACGGACGGACTTCTCTCTTCATATAATCCGTTAAATAGGGAGTTTCATATCTAACAGACCCTTGATATAATGGACTTCATCTCTGTACAGTAGTTCGTTAGATGGAAGTTTCACATCTAACTGACCTTCGATATAACGGATTTTCCTCTCGATGTAGTCCGTTATATAGAGGCTTCACGATACTATACTGTACAATAGCTTCACGAACCAAGAGCACCTGTACTACACTCCTATTACTACTTGATTGGCGAACACTGTACCTGTCAACAGTATTCCTTTGGCATATCAGTGTCCAGTATCACCCAACCCACCCAGGCCAAAAATAAAGTTTTTACAGGCAGTCCTCACTATGTGAAAGTTGGATGCAATCTGCAGATGTTATGCAAATTTATTTTTAATTTAACTACTTGTGTACAGGATCCCATCTGTTCTGAATAAATTCATCTGGTGTAAGCCAAAGAAAATATTAAAAGTGGCAGCCCCATAGTGAAGGGTTAAGAAATTTTCCATAAAATTGTCATAAGTGGACAATGCATTCCTGGGAGCTATTGTCAGACATATTATGCAGCCAATACTAACCAAACTAAATGCAAAAGACATACTAATATCTCACTACATCAATACAGTACTACTTGTACAGAACATCACTATATTTATAATTTAAAAGAATACTGGCCATGTACTGTATACGAAAATGTAAATACAGTACATTATTGATATTGCAGAAACTACCTACAACACTTGTAGGTTCTCCAAGCAGAGGGAAGTATTATGGTGCATATAACAGCCATGTCTCTTCTTACTGACTTACATGGATACACCTTACATGTGTGTTAGCACCTCAGCTTCTGCTTATATTAAAAAAAGAGGGAAAATGGTTCAAAAACATTTCTGATGATGATGACAACAAAGCACAGGATAATAATTACCAACAACTGAAGTCACTTGGTATGAAGGATGGGTCCCCGAACTCATGCCCTGGATTGGCAAAATACTGCAGTATAGTTCTGCACCAACTTTGCAATGAACCCTATTGGGTAAAGTGGCAAAGATTATAGTGGAGTGGTGCAGTCGAAAGTACTGTAGCTTATTTGAGATACGAACAACAGGAAAAAATATGTATCAGTTAAAAGATTGCACATAGTGAAAAGTATGCACTAGCTAATTCATAAATTTTGTATGTGTGAAAACATATACAGCAGGAGAGCATACAGTGAGGACTGCCTATACAGTAGAGTATTGTACTGAGTATATACTAATGCCCAGACAACTTCATTAATATCAACAGCAAGAATTTATGATGGTCCCATTTTCAAGAATAATTAAAACAATTTGCCTATGATAATTTCAAAACACTTTTAGTGATTTAAAACTAATTATTTTATTACCACTATACATGTGCCATACATATACACTATCAATTTACAGTACTGTATACTTATCATCATTAAAGATGGTCAATCCCTTTTATAATTTAAATCCAGGTGTTATTCATATGAATAAATTAAAACAATTTATACACCACAAGTGTATTACCTGTATATATTATTTACAGAAAGAGCAATATAATGGAACAATTCCTCAGAGAATATTCTTTATTAAAATCCTCTAGCAACAACATCAAAAATTTCCATTGTCAGCTGATGGTTGTGCAAGTCGGTCATTTCCCATCTCCACTTCCAAGTCAAAATAGCTCATCTTATCATAACAGAAGTATTCTGTGTTTGGGTAGTCTCCACTCTTTGAGGCTCCTGGACCAACAGCAATACAAAAGAAACTATAATGTTACATATGCCAATAAACCTTTCAATCCTAACCTCAATCTATTTTTGTTTCCCCTCCCTGCCTAAGATTTAGGGGAAAAATAGTGGCCTTATAAATTAATTAAACAATGTTAAAAACCATAAAATGTCATGAAAGAAAATTTATATCTAGCTTAGTAGCTGCAATTTGTTTCCTCAGTAAGACAATTTGACCTTTAAGTCTTCCCAATACAGGTACCTCAATGTGCTCTGAAGTTGTTAATACAGTACTGTACTATACATTACGGTATGTGTCATATACTCAAGCTAAACCTTATCATATTCCTCTATATCAATACAGTAGAGGTACAGTCACTCACATGTATTCATACACACCTATATTCTTGTGGGTCAAACTATCTGGTAACACTTTCCTGTAGAGAACCGTTAGAATATGACAGGAACCTCTCGATTTACGCGATAATTCCGTTCTTTAAAATGGCCGTGTAAATAAAAACATGAAATCAAATAGTAATGTAAATACGTGTACACAGTGGAGATTAGGGGGTTTTGTTATTAATAAAACAGTACCCAATGTTATATCAGTGAAAAACTACAGTACAGTATACAGTACATGAACAATACTGTACCAGGAAATATAAAATACTCCAGGCCTTTATTTGTATCACAAGCACGCTGATGGGAACCTTATCATGAGTTTGGTGTTTGATCTAGTATGTACCCAACCTCCATACTATTCTCTCCATAATAAAACTTTGAGAATACGAGGTCTTAGATAAACTGATTAATGTTCCAATCTTGGCAATCTGCAAAGTAGATTCACTAAGTTTAAAGAACACGTGTAATGTCAGCTGTTTGTTCACCTCTCTCATAACGTTTGAGTACATCCATCTTATTCCCAATGGTGAAATTATACCTCTGAGCAACACTGGTAACAGAACTTAAGAAGAAACTTTAGTGGCATTATGCAAAGGGCAAAACAAGTGCAATATAGAGTATACTGCAGCACAAAATACTGTAACCTGTGACTATAGACTGTATCCATGCATTGAGGACTGTATACCCACCAAGTGTATGTATGCGCTTCTCGTGCCAGCTGGCAACACAACACCACTGCCAGCCCTATGATGATGTTTGTCGATGGTCACGTTATTCTAAACATAAGTCCACATGAACTAAAAAAAGGTGTATATTGGACTTGAACAGCAGGTGGCGATTAGCATGATTCTCCTGCTTGTAACCTTGTTTAACCAATTCCCAGAGGAGAGTCTTATTTTTATACACAAAGTGTTTGACTTCCCCTACATAATTAACCAAAAGTCAGAGGGAATAACGGAGAAACAGACAAGGCAAGATAAAAACAGAATCTACAGAATCTACCAGACAGTTTACACCTCTACAGTATACAACTACCAGACAGTTTACACCTCTACAGCATACAGTTACCAGACAGTTTACACCTCTACAGTATACAGCTACAGACAGTTTACACCTCACAGTATACAGCTACCAGACAGTTTACACCTCTACAGTATACAGCTACAGACAGTTTACACCTCTACAGTATACAACTACCAGACAGTTTACACCTCTACAGCATACAGTTACCAGACAGTTTACACCTCTACAGTATACAGCTACCAGACAGTTTACACCTCTACAGTATACAGCTACCAGACAGTTTACACCTCTACAGTATACAGCTACCAGACAGTTTACACCTCTACAGTATACAGCCAGACAGTTTTACCTCTACAGTATACAGCTACCAGACAGTTTACACCTCTACAGTATACAGCTACCAGACAGTTTACACCTCTACAGTATACAGCTACCAGACAGTTTACACCTCTACAGTATACAGCTACCAGACAGTTTACACCTCTACAGTATACAGTTACCAGACAGTTTACACCTCTACAGTATACAGCTACCAGACAGTTTACACCTCTACAGTATACAGCTACCAGACAGTTTACACCTCTACAGTATACAGCTACCAGACAGTTTACACCTCTACAGTATACAGCTACCAGACAGTTTACACCTCTACAGTATACTACATCATCCATGGTTCCAACATGAGCAGCTGAATTATTACTGATGGTAACACATGGCATCACCATATGGTTCATGGCTGCTTTAACATATTTGAAACAAGGCAGAAGAATCAATACTTTAGTTATCTCATATGTCCATAGGACTCTGGTCTGCTTTGTATAAGATTCATCAATATGACTGAAGGGTTAAGGGAATCACAATAAAGCAAAAGTCTTCAATAAAAAATCAGGATGTTACTGACAGATATCTCACACTAAGAGTGTCTGTATCACTCATCTGGCAAAACATTTTTCTCAACAAGTGTCTACCAAATGTAAACCTTTGTGTCCCCTCAGTGAGGCCATACATGACCTTAGGGACTTCATTTGTGTAACTGTACATATCCCCCAAGGATGCAAAATGCCATATTTTTTAAAATGGCCCCGTGTTTTCTGATAACTTGATCCTCTTCGCCACTGATCAGCTTGTTAGCTGCTTGGGCAGTCGGTCACATCTCTGTTATGCACTGTTGGCAAGTACTGTACAGTATTGGGCATGTACTGGCTCAAGAATGTATTTGTACCTGTGCCAGTGTTAGTCAAGTCTGGTTTTAATGAGTTCACTCTCAATGCCGTCACAATCTCTGGTAGATATAAAATATTACAAAAAAATTCTCCAGAAGCTTCATTTGAACAAATTTGAATGCCTCATCCTAAAAGAGCTATGGTATACCATCAATATCATCACCATTTTATGATAATTTTCCACACTTGCATGAGTTAGCAGTGATTACCTGATGGCATGGTGTAACGGTTGGCATAAAGCAAATTTGAAGTAAGTTTTATGGCTAGGTGCTCTTTCTATTGCCAACAGATGGGTAACTGTACAGTATAAGAAGTACTGCAAGTATTAGCTGGCATGGCATTACCTACCCCCGTCCGAGTTGAATACCAAATATTGTATTTTTCATTCCCTAATTTATGAAGATTTCTTAATTTTCTGGCTAACCTTCTGACTCACAGCTCCTCATAACACGGGTCATCTATTGAGGGCAGTCAATGTCCTTACACAGCCCTAATTATTCAACCCAGGGCACAAAATCATCCAAATCACACCCATCAACCCCAAATTGGGAGATAGGTACCACAGTAAGTTAGTCTAGCATGAGTGGGTTTTTCTATGTGAGGCATGTGTGCATGTAAGTATTTGGGTGACTAGGAGCGTTTATGTGTAAAATTGTCTGTGTAAGAGTCCATGTGCTCATAACCTTAGTACACCTGGATGAGGAATGAAAGCAAACATGAGTGTCCTTGATTCACTGAGGGATTTAAATGTGACAAAATTGAAAACATTGCCAGCAGCAATTAAATTAAATTACAGTACAGTACTGACACTTGTAGTAGTTATAATGTATACTGAATTCTTTGTTATCTACAGTACTGTATTTATTCTCCTATTTATTTTACATTTTACAGGTCAATAAGCAAAAATACCACATTTTTCCAATTTATATAAAACTAAACTGGTGCCATTTTTGCTTAGGCCCCTGTGTCTATCAAGTCACCAGAGGCCACAAAATGGTTCCTTACTGACATTTGCAGCTACAGTATCTAAATACTGTACTGTAATAATTAATTCCCATTTGTTTACCCAAAGTTTTAATTCCGTATCTAATTTCCTACAAGCCAACATGTGTATAACTTTAAATAGCATTTTTGTAGTTTTCTTGAAGTTAAACCAAACCAAACACTGAGTGACTATTCTCACTCCCTCAGGAGCCTCCATTGTAAATCACATTGCATCACACTACTGCCATGATTGAAAAACTTATGTCCCAAATAATATGACCACTACCGTACCCTTATTTACCTAAATGTGATGTAGGAGCTTGCATGGTACTGTAGTTTTCACTGTATATTTTATGGGATACAAGAAAACCAGCTTCACTAGCCCCTTGTTAAGATCCTTGCAACTCTTTCAAGCTATGCTGGTCATTAAGGTACATTATCAGCCAGAAGACCCAGGTACATGGACTTTAAACCTCTTGGACTGAACACCAATCACTGGACTCTTATGCAGGCTGGTTAAGATAAAAACACTAATTTAAAGAAAGTTCTATGAAACTCTATGCTTTACACCATCAGATGCATTGCTCCAACCATAAAGGAACATCCCTCTTGAAATAAGGGGTTGTTAATATCATATATTTTCTGTAAAACTGCTTGAAGAAAAAGAAACTGGAATAAACAAAAACTGTATGCACCGTTTTTAGATACAGTTCTGTACAAGACCGATACGTACAAAAACAGTCCACAACAGATAAATGACTGCCCACCCGACCAGCTAGTAAACTGACAAGAGGTGAAGAGGTTATTTAAGTAAGTACAGTGAAGCAAGGATGTCTGATGTCCAAAAAGGGTCCATCATATTTATGGATGGGGTAGTAGGAGAAATAAAGGCAAAGGAGATTGAGTCAAAAACAAAATTGGATTTCATATCTCCTCCATACTGTACACTAGACCTGCATCACCAATTTGTAGATTAGTAATGTGGAGCACAGCACCTACTGTACCCTCTACACTGTACTTACGTTCACTAGGACTGGTAGGTGTGGCTGCAGACTGGTACTCAGGAATATCCGATGTGCTTTCGGGTGTAACTGCAGGTGATTCTGTTGCCTTTGGAGACTTTGAGGCCTCAAGACAAAATCCTAGAAAGCTGGACGAAACCGAGGTGCCTCAAACTGTAAATTAAAAATAAAGTGACTGAGTTTGGATATCCTATTTTATAGTTGAGGAAAGTCAAATAAATTGTGATATTCCTGCCAACAAAATGTCCCCCCGCTAAAAGTCAGCACTACCTACAAGCTACGCTATATACCCAGTATAATTGATAGTTAATGAAAGTTATGACCAACTCATCTCCCTAGAGGTTCAGTGAGGGCCATCCAACATGGGCCCAGTGTTAAGTTTGGTTGAATTAGAATTATGAAAACTTGCTTCAAAAATAAGTTAGGTGTAACCACGTTATAAATTCACATAGCAGTACTCACTGTCCATAATTTAGTGAATTTAGTGTCCTATTCCAATGTTCTAGAATATTATTTTAAACAAGTTACTGAGTTAAGCTAAGAAGTAGATGAAAATGTAAAGTTTAAACAAAATAATAAATTGTCAAATTACGTATTTTCGAGTCCCAGGATCAGTACTAGACAAAATTTTTGTTTGTAATTCACTTTAAAATGGCTGGCAAGCTTAAAAGTGAGAGTTTTGTGGTGCTGAGAAGAAAAGACACCCAATTTAGATTTTCTATGTATTATTTAAGCATTTTCGAATTATGACCATTTAGGCTTACAACCTGGATTTGGGTCCCCAACCCGTCATAAGTCAGGAGGCTATATATATATATATATTTATATTTATATTGAGAATATTTTACAATTTACAGTAAGTGAAGATTATAATAAGCACTCATTTTAACCTCTGTGCTTATTAGCACTTGAGGGTAATAATAATAATATATCACTGAACTCTGTATGGTTAATGGAGAAACAAACTAATGCATAATGCCATGTTCTTTTATGGTCAGTGGTCACTTCTAAAGGCTGGCAAATACAGGTACAGGTACTTTCTTTTCATAGTACAGTGCAGTTTAGTGTTTGCTGTTAATGGCAATCAGATGTATATTGTATTTCTATAGTGTTCATTACTTATGGCAGGCAAAGGTATTTTTTTCAGTTTTGTTGCTAAGACTTACCTAGGTATTTCTTCTCATCTTTTTACCTGCTTACAGATGTCTCTTACACCACACACTTTTGCTCAAGATCACCGCCTTGTAAATATAACTCGAATAACTGTCTGACTATTAAAGAAAGTTTATACACCTTCTGATATCAATAAATTGGAATAAAGTATCAAAATTTTCAAACATTACAGGCCTTGTCATTGCCAGGTGACCAAACACCACCCCCTTCCCTTTCATGATAACCGGAGTGATAATGAATTGCCAGACGATGCGAGATTAATGATGGGTGTTTGTTATCGTAAAAATTATGATATTGTAAATAATAATGATAAAAATTAGGGGATGGGTGGGTCTACGCAATTCGTAGGTGTGTACTGATGTCTCCAAGGATTTGCTGTGATTAAAATAGCATTATTTTAAGAGTTATGGATTTTATTGGACCATTACTGTATTAACATTAGTGTAATGGAATCACATGGAGAACTGTGTCCTTAGAACTCAAGTCAAGAAATCTGCCAACTACACAATGGGAAGTAGCTCTCACAGATGCTCTCCACTGTATTCAATCTGTGCTATCAACTGCCACTATCACCATGAATAGGTGTTTGGTTACCAGCAGAGATCCACCTGTGGGAGAGCCATACCCTCCTGTTTAACCATCCCAGGTTCCGTCTTCCTCAAGTGCCAACTATGAAACAGCTAATATGAATCATTCATACATGAAGTTGAGCTCATTGATGTCAATCCAGAATATGCAAAAGGTAGACATCAAGAAGGAAGGGAGACTACTGTATATCTAGGCCATCTTGCACCTTAAGGGAACAAAACCAATGGACACAGAGACCAAAACGTGACTGATTTCGAGCACGTTGCTTCACGAGGGTCAACTAAAAACCCTAGAGAGCCTTCAAGAATTGAGGAGGCTGAACAACTGGAGGACACTGACCCTCAGGAGAGACTCAAACAGGATACACCAATGACTCAACCAACCCCACATTGTTCAGAGCACTCTAGGCCTCTGCCCTCATAGTTGACAGATTTTTCCTTGCAGGCTGTAGGTCCAACCTTGTAAAATGATTAATGAAAACATTCTTGATATTTGTGTAGCTTTTGGGTTGATTATAATTTGTTCTGTGTAGAGTAATGAGGACACAAATTATTTTCTGGAATGATCTTATCTGAGGCACACTACAGTACTGTACTAGTTTATGACACTGAACATTGGCTATAGGACAAATAATGTACTCAGATAAATTTCAGTATATTTTTTCTTCTGTTAAGCTCATTTTAAAGGCTGGGGAGCATGGTGTGTACTTTACCTTTTTTTATAATATTGGTTGACAATGTTGTACATAATCTTGTATTGCATTACAAATGTAGTACAGTACTGTAGTAGGGTCTTTATAATTCACGAAACACAAATTAACGTTTTTATGTTCTCAATTTCACTGTCAAATATTCATTTACCCAACAATTTCCCTTTACTTCAACTCCCTGCCTACTTTGTGTGATCAAAATTGCAAATTTTAAATGGAAACAAGTACATATATACTGTACATTTCTGGCAAAAAAGCTATAAGTACTGTACAGTTCTGTATTTCTTCTCTATCTCCATATTCAAAAATTGCTGTTTTTTTTTTCATGCATATGAAACAAAAGTATTAATGTTTATGAAATGTTTCTTTTAGTGCTCACATGAACAATTGAATATGGCTATGGTTGGAGCTGCTCATCGACATAGATTCCTGTTCAGGAGGAAAAATCATGAAAAAGGTAGAATAATTGCAACTCCTCCATTATTTTTCAGTAAAGATTAGTTAAAGGTCAATCAAGGAGTTACATTATATGGAGTTGTATATAGGGAGATTGAGGAAAAAAATAGTCTTTGAAGTAGAAGGAAATTGTGGGGTAAAATCACACAAAAAACTGACTAAACCAAATCAAACGGAGCCTAATGTAACCTAACTATTACACAAAACTTCAAGCGTAATATTTAAGAACAAGTGCCCAGGTTACAGAGTGTAGTTAAGAAACTTGTCTACGCTATAAAAGAAAAGTTCTTCAGTTTATCATGAACATTCCAAAATTGGTGGAGGAGATCTAACCTAATGACTCAAATACTGTATCTGTATAAAGATCTGACCTAACCTAACCAGAGTACCCAGAAGGACCAGACCAAACCCAACAAGACAAAAGAAGAAACAAAGAAACCTAAAGAACCAAACCTAAAATTGAAACAGAAGAACGTGAAAAATATACTGTAAATTTCCGACAAAAATGCCAGTGTTCCTATTTTGGCGATGGCGGACGAGACGATCAGCACCAGAAGGACTTTATGGTGTTAACCATCTTCATCATTACTCATTATTTTCATTTACATTATCTATCTATATTCAAATCAATATAGAGTTCCATGATCGATCTTTTCCAAATCTTAACCTTTTTTTATTTTTATTTTTGACATTCAAGAGGTAAGAAAGAACTCTTGGTGCAACTATAGAGTGCAGTTTCCAAAGATATCTTAAGTCTAACCTAACCTAAATATCTTCTAGAAGCACCAAACTTTTCTTCTTTAGAATTTTTCCTAAACTTGTTACTCCTCAATGATGTAGATTATTACCATACAAATTGACATAACTAATTCCTCCAACTTTTTACTTTACTTTCTTCTGGAATATTCTACAGGTAAGAAGGAATATTAGGGGTATTTTACTTTATGGGGTAGAGCACCCAAAAGTTATAAACGACTGAAACATTTAGGTCTCCTTATTCTGACCAATTTGAACCACATATATACCAGGGGGAAATGGATAATAGCCACACAATTGAATTTGATTAATTTTACGTAGTTTTCAGTCTTCGTCTCTGTGAGGAGATGTTATCGGCGCATCACACATGTGCAATATTGACTGACATCATCCTGTTGCGACCAATTATGTATCCATATCATCATGTGATTTTTTTTTAACCAATCGCATTTGATTTTTTTCAAAGGAAGCATCCTGGGTACGATTTTAATTTCATTGGCCAATCTCACAATGGTCGTGGTGGAGGTTGGTTGTCATTTGTGCTCCTAAGATTATTTTAAGTATATTGCTGAGTCTTACGAGAAAGACGATCATTCTATCCAATTCTTACGTATTCCATGTACTTTCGGACATGGCGTGCCACAAAGTTTTAAACTACTGAAACATTTACCGTAGGTTAGCTTAAACTAGGCCTACTGGGGGTCCGCTAGGGGTTGGGTTAGGTTAGGTTAGGTTAGGTTAGGTTTTGTTAGGTTTGATATCTCGTTCTCGTTTTCTCCCCCACCCAAAAATCACGACTTCCCAGGATCTCCCCCATTATTATTGGAGGGGGGGGAGAAAGTTCCGCCAAAATGAAGGTCAGATTCGTTTAAAACACACCAAAATACACTGGAAAAACATATTGGTCAACCCCTAGGGACTTGTGTCCTAAAGTAAAAAGTTATTTTTTTCCATAGAAATTAGTTCTAGTTGCTGGTTAACCCTTGTTCATGTTCCAGAGCAACAGTACCAATAAAATAACTAATTCTGAAGTGAGGTACGACCAGGCAGGCTTCCTCCTATACTAACACTAGACCCATTACCGGACCTCCTGGGAGATGAGTTAATAATAACTGATAAAGTTATCTAATATGAGTACAATCATCAATCAATCAAATTTAATGAATCTTCTACTACTTCCCACTCCGGGTTTCACCAGGGCCAATCTTAGACCACAAAATAAAATGTCCTTAATCAAAATATATTCTATTCAAACAGCTAAATTTGATTTTTTCCGTACCTTAAGAGCCTGAAGAAATCGTGGTACCTGCGCCATAATAATTAACTTTATGATAGCCCGATGATAACCACAGGAACTGTATTTGCAGACACCAGTCACACCACAGTGAGGAAGATGAACCAGTAGCCGGGGTTCGAACAGGATCAGGTCCAAGTTTTCGAGACATTTAATAATTATGAAGTAAATCATATCCTTGTTTAATTTACAAAACTGAGTATGTTTAGAATTAAATATAATTTTATCACATTAATAACATTAGCTTACATATACACATTCAATATATATATAATTCAGCTTATTATTTATACCGAATAAAATACGATTAACAAATAACAGTAAACTATTCAATATATCTTAACATTTAAATTACGATCATGAAACCATTTAAAACACAATAAACTTTCTCGTTATTTCGTTTACTAATATGGAAAATGAAACGTTAAGAGTATGTAACGATTTAGAGAAATATTTAATGGTTCTTATGTTTCATCTTGTGCTCGAAACACCTCTGGTCGCTCATACTTACGTCGCTTAACTAAATGTGGTTGGATACTTAACTCACTTTCCGGCCACAAGGTAATACTATTGATTAAGACTTATCACAACATAGCCATATTATTTAGAATATTTGATATCGACCTGTATAGTCAATAAATACACGACTCATGGAATTTCAAAAAACAACTACGGTATAGAGTATTATTTAAACTTACCTACAAAGAATATGAAGGACAAGCAAATTATAGATTGTAGCTGGATATCAGACCACCAAGAGGGAGGAGGCATTGCAGTTATTTCTTCTGCCTTGTTCTGTTGGCCGCTAAGGGATTTTTCTTGGGTCTTCTTTCTTGTTCTCCTGTCAAATTGGAAGTTGTCTTGAATAACCTTTCTTCTGTGTTTATTTATAACACCGCTACTAGATTTGTGGCATAATATTCAACATCATAAGTTTTAGTGTAAACTTTTCAGTAAGTGTTTTATTTTCTTAGATGAGTGTTAAGACAATGCTGAGAACACAATAAATGTTCTGGTGAGTACAGGACATCCACCAACCCACCCAGGCAGAGCCACAAATGACAATAACATACTGTACCTGTAATGTAGCACATTAAATACTACGGTAGTTACTATAAATGGGTATATAAGTGGTGAAATAATAATAAATTAAACCTTTGGTACTGTACATAAGGAGGCAGTGTGGCCAGCATTGTAATCCACCACCTTTTTTCTAACAGTAGAATTGGGTATCCATTTACAGCTGGGTGAACTGAAGATGAACCAATGACCCTTGTCCAGGAGGTGAGTGCTTTATACCCTCGACGGCTGCACTCTTATCACTGCATACTACATCTGGTTTAAGAGCTATGTATGCTTCCCTCGGTAAGAAAGCGTATTTAAAAAAATCTGCTTTTGGACCATCAACCCAACCAAGTACTGTATGTGTTACGGAGCCATTACCTTACCTTACCTGGTGCTACTACAGTATGTGGTCTACCGGGATATTTACACTATAGCGTCCATTAAACCTAACCAAACTTAACCTATAGTAGCACCGAGTTACCAACCTGCATTACTGCTTCCCGTACGCACTGATAACGCCACACACAACTGGTAAACTCATATCATTACATACAGTAAATTTCAAAATCTTTATTAATTTTTTTCTTCTTAAATTAATTCACTTTTTTTTTACATAAATTCTTGCAGAAAATATCCTACAAATTATAATTCTTAACAGGAGTTCTATACGTGACGTTTCAAATACAAATTTTTAAAAATGACAAATAGTAAACAAATGTACAGCCTCATTAATCTAGTCAGCTGTAGTTACCTCTCTTGTGAACCTCCTACTCTGAGGACGATCAGCACCTCAACGTGTGTGTGTGTGAGATGCTTTTATATACTTGTAGATCATGTTGTGGAGGATCTTGCTGGTGAATACGCAGTTTGGGGGTCTACTGTGGGTGGTGGGGTCAGTTTTGGGGGTCTACTGTGGGTGGTGGGGTCAGTTTCGGAGTCTACTGTGGGTGGTGGGGTTAGTTTTGGGGGTCTACTGTGGGTGGTGGGGTCAGTTCCGGGGTCTACTGTGGGTGTTGGAGTCAGTTATCGGGTTTACTGTAGATGCCGATAAAAATAATACTGTTGGAGAGGTTATCGTAGATGAAGAAGAGGAAGGGACGGTTACACTGGAAGGTGACAGGCGGCGGAAGTTTGGTCCTTGGGTGGGATATGAAGGCTGTGGCTGCTGCGGCCTCCGTACCCTCCTCCGTAACCTCCAGGGAGGCCTGGTGGAGGCTGCGACTCACCAGCAACCCTCCAAAGGGCGCCAGGGCCGTCAGGTCAGCTCTCTTGCTAAACAGATCTCTTATCCCCAGTTGATGCAGCGCCTATTGTAATAAAACAAAAGACATGAACCTCGGTCAAGCTGCAGATAAACATGAACCTCAGTCAAGCTGCAGGTAAACATGAACCTCGGTCAAGCTGCAGGTAAACATGAACCTCGGTCAAGCTGCAGGTAAACATGAACCTCGGTCAAGTTGCAGGTAAACATGAACCTCGGTCAAGCTGCAGGTAAACATGAACCTCGGTCAAGCTGCAGGTAAACATGAACCTCGGTCAAGCTGCAGGTAAACATGAACCTCGGTCAAGCTGCAGGTAAACAGTCTCTGATCGTGTATACTTGAGGGTAGCATATAGTGTGTGTAATAGAAGTAATAACGTTATAGTAAATCAACACCTTAAGGAACTGTCTGGAGACTTTACCTGTAATTACTTGATAAGAGTGAAGCTAATGTTACTCCCTGACTGTGCAAAATGATCTGATAATCTTTATTGATACCTTAGGCAGTATATATACTATTATTGTTGTGATTTGTACCTTCACTAATGTTTCTTCCTTAAGAAAATTAAGTTGAACTTTATTACATTAATTAGTGAATTCTACCATTAGCTGCAGTAACGTACAGTGATAAAATTGCAGAAATAAAATACAATTATTTTTATTTATATATTTTTCTTGTATCACCGTTGACAACATGGTGATACTCACTCACCTGCTTGAGGTCATCCTTAATAGCATAATCCAGCTTAAACTTGGGCATCTCGACCTTGACTTGGCGATACCACATGTTATTAATGGATAAGCGGAGGGAGTCGGCGGTGAGGCGGGTAGTGAGGTCATCGAGGCCCAGGTCATGTTTAGGATCGTGGGTGAGGGAAGGAAGCAGGAGGAACATGGACCAGGAGCCACCAGAGTATGGTAACTCCAGTAGGCGCGCTCCCAGGGCTGGCGACACTCCTGACGGAACATTAACGATACAATGTGTGCTTTCTCTCTTCACTGTCACTCAGAGTCGAGTAATATATGATACTGTACTAATTACACAATGCTGTCCCTTATTCTCTGTGTAGCTGAGCTGGCCCACAGTTTTCTCGTTTGGGGAGACCAGTTTACATTTGCTCAACCGTTTATATATATACAATATATTACAGTAATTGAAGCAGAAACAGTATAAATGTTTCACTCGTGTCAGGTTGAGGGGCTGACCACACCTACCATATCTGAGCTGTGCGGAGTGTTTCATCATGGCCACTTGGGTGTAAGTGGTAGGGGAGGTGTAGAACCTGGCAGGGAAGGTGTTGCTGAGTGGAAACTGGTAAAGCCACGATCCCTTGAAGGCGGCGGCGTTGACAAGGACCATCAGGGCACCTATGAGGTCCTGGGGGTCCACTAGGTGACCCACGCGTCCCCTCGTACTCTCTGACACTTCTCTGTTGATCCTGGCGGCGGCGTCCTGGTGCTGTGGGATGAGAGGGAGGAGGGTCGAGCCATAGTCATCACCACCAACTTACACATCAACACACCTTCAATACACTCGATTTAATCATTTACACCTTGATACAGTTGTTGTCTCTCATCACTATGCCCCAGGTTTGGGAGGTCGGTCACGTCTCTGTTCCGCACTCTTGGCAAGTTGTGATCATGTATTCAGAGTGACCCAACCAAACGTCACAGGTTTTCTCCGGGTGCATTTGTTTCTTACTGTACTAACACTGGACTATAAAGGAACAAAATACCGGCTAACAAAGAACAGACCGACCACACTTAATTTTGGCCAAGGGAGGCGCTCTAAGTCAAAAATTGCAGGCAAATTTTATGAAAAAAAAATAAAAAATTTCCAGGATGCTAAAACTCCCCAAATATCACCCTGTGTTTAACTCAGAATTCAAGATGGCTGCTGTACAGATGTGTTATAGATTCCCTTAAATACATTCACAAAACGACGCTAGTTATTTCCCGACATTAAGACTGAATTTGCATTCTCTTGAGAGGGACATAGTGAGGGGCGACATGATCGAGGCACAGTACATAACAAGAGGTGATATAAATAAGGTACAATACTTAACTACCAAATATGGAACGAAAATATATATATAGTTTGATAAGACAAAATCAATTTAAGAAGGAAATAAGTAAACATTGGTTGTGAAATAAGATTGTGAATGAGTGAAAGAAATTACCAAATTTCATTAATTAGAATATTTACGGGAGTTTCACATACAGGTTGGACAGATATATGGCTGGTAATGGTTAGGTGTAAAAAGGAGTTACCTCTCATGTGCCAAAAAACCTTTATTTTCATGTTGCCATTAAGTCCATCAATATTCTCGGGTAGTGGTCTGACTAACGCAGCCTGCCAGTTCTTCAATGGGTGAACCAGTCAGTTAGGGTAGGCTGATTAACTGTATCCAAAACCTCCATCACACTAGAGTAAACAACACGTGTAAGAGCACCACACCTGAAGGAAGCTGAGGCGGTGAAGCTCATGGTGAGAAAGATGGTCTGCCACACACTGGTTGAGGCGTACACGGGGGTCCACATAGGCCTTATTTACTACCACCAGACTTCCTCCGTTCTTCTTCCCCTCACTCGCTCCCCACCTGTAGTATACACAAATTGGGTTATTATATATATATAATAGTAAGTTGACTGGTCCATGCAAGCTTTAACAAGTTTGGTAAGTGTAAGTGATCATGAACAAATGGGTGTATACAAAATTACGCATACATCTCAGATCTGTGACAACATGAAGTACTGTAGCTGGCTGTATCGAGATATATTTATAGCTAGCCAAAGAGAGGGTGTATGAAGTGTGGGTGTGTGTGTTGTGATTCAATTCATGCACAACTGTTCCTTGTTTGTACTGCAATCGCAATGACTTTATTTTCGTTTACCATATGTGTGTGTTCGTCACTAGTGACATATACAATATGTGTTGAGGAGTTACAAGTTGCAACACTCACAGGAGTTGCAGGTGGCGCCAGGTGTTGAGGGCAGACAGTTTGTCGTCGAGGCCAAGGACCTCCTCCAGCTGGTGTTTGGTGTTGCCTGAAGAGGCCAGGTAGGCCAGCAGGAGGCCGCCCCCCACGCTTGCTGGTGAAAACACCACGTTAACCTCAGGCGATGACCTCCGGTACACCTCCCTGAAGAGCGCCACAGAGAACTCCAGACTGGAGGAAGTGTCGAGGTCAAAGGATGAGGGCTGGTCATCGTCGTCATCGTCGAGGCAATCCCCCTCTACCATCGTCACCAACATCATCACCATCAGCACATTAAACCACCAAATCTTCCTGTTTTACAATTAAAAAAACAACTTTGTGAAATAATCTGAAGATTCCAATATCACACACACGAGTCAAACTTGCATTAACCTGCTATGATCCGCGTAAAGAATTATAGTGTTTAATGTGGAGTACAACATATCCTGATAATAGTGTTGAAAAATTATAGAAAATTATTATTCATTAGAACCCAATTAATGTAAATTGGTGTAATGAATTTATGTTGAGGGCTGACCAGTGACAGTGTGAGTGCCTTAGGTTTGAGCCAACAGCAAGAGCCTAGAAGACGTGAGCGTGTAGCGTCCCTAACAGTCTTGGGTGGTGCGTCTGTATTCGGTATGTACATGGTCCTCTTTTGATTAGCTAGGAGTTTGAAGTATAATTATCAGCCTCTAATAGAAAGTGCTTAATAAATACTAAGTAACCGTGCATTGAGTAGAATATCATCATTATCATGTGTTTGTGTTGTAAAATAAGATACAGTGAGTAACAACACAGCTAGTATATTTACCCCTAGTGTCTATGTGAGTGCATGGTAAGCATATTCCTTCCTCCCCTCTCGATGCAGACGTAAACTGGGTGTGAGACAAGAGTGGTAGGGGTGGGTGTGAGAGGGTGTGTGGTAAGAGTGGGCGTGAGACAAGAGTGGTAGGGGTGGGTGTGAGAGGGTGTGTGGTAAGAGTGGGCGTGAGACAAGAGTGGTAGGAGTGGGTGTGAGAGGGTGTGTGGTAAGAGTGGGCGTGAGACAAGAGTGGTAGGAGTGGGTGTGAGAGGGTGTGTTGGGGAGTGACTAAGGCGAACTATTTTTCCCTTTTTGTGGCTCTATGTTTGGTTTGTGTGGGGATGAGCTGCCATTTTGTTTTGGGGTGTCTGTGGTGCGAGGGCAGGTTTATGGGTGGTCTGGGCGGTGTTGGGTGTGGTGGTGGCGGTCGTGTGGGAGAGGGCAGGTGTGGGGCGTGGCCGATGTGGTGGGGTTAATTGAGGGCAGGTTTGGTTTTGTAAATTTCCGGTATGTGTACATCCGGGAGGCCGTTAGCATTTAGTCCCTGAATCACAAGGCTTAGGAAATGCGTCAATTTCAATTTCAATTGTTTATTCCTTGATAGAGGAAGCGGGATCCTAGTGCTGTCACTAGGTACCCCTGTACAATGACACCAGAAGCATCTGGCAAGTGTGACAAGTATATACAGTGTAAATATTATAAAGGGGCTTACTAAAGCCTAAGGAAGGAAGGATATTCCTTTAACACATAATCAATGTTATTTACATAATATCTGGCCAGTATGGGGAGGATCATCGTGTCTCCGTCAGGGGGTCGTGGAGTGGTGGTCCAGCAGGCGTCACGGAAGCGTTGTGTGTGGGGACATCTTCGGAGGTAGTGGATAAGGGTGCTGTTGTCGGGTCTTCTGCATAATGCACAAGAGCGTTGCTCAGGGGATGCGGGGATACCAATCTCCCGAGCAAAGTCATACCCAATGATGATACGGGCAGCAATCACGTCCCTTTTCCGCGACCCTTTCCCATAGACATACGAGAGGTCAGGAAGTTTACGGAGGACATCGTACCAGGTGGGCGGGGAGTCCAGGGGGATGGCTGCTTCCCGAGCTTCTCTCTGTTTGCGGCGAATTTGGGTCCTAAGCTGTAAAAGTGTTCGAGGAACAACGTAGTCAGGTGTGGCCTTGTTACAGCCAGTCTTGGCAAGGCCATCTGCTGCCTCATTCCCCAAGATACCGACATGACTGGGTATCCATAGGAATGTCACAAGACGGCCTGCATCCTGAGGTGTGGATGTTAACCCTCGTATTCGGAGGATGAGGTCCTTATTTTCCCTTGATCCAAATGCGATCCCGTCGAGAGCAGAACTGGAATCGCAGCAGACAAGCAAGGGGCAGAAACCATCTGCTTCTTCCTCAGCGAGAAGGGCAGCAAGGAGGGCTATTAGTTCAGCGTGAGTGGAGGATGCCCCGTCAGAAACTCTGAGAGACAGTTTGATAGGCTCAGGGGCATCAGGACGAGAGATGTAGACACCAGCCCCGGCCCGACCTGTAGCAGGGTCAACAGAACCATCAGTGTAGAGGACGACCCTACCTGGGGACCAGTGGGCGATCCTGGAGAGGTGGGATTTGTAGAGAATAAAAGGATTCACGTGGGATTTCGGGAGCGGTAGGAAGTGCATCCTGTCTCCGTTGCATAAGGTGTGTGATAGTTGTGATTTTTGCGTCATCGTCGGTGGGGGTGATGGGGTGGTCTAGTGGTTGGTCCTATATGTGGGGGTGGTTGTAGTGGGGTGAGTCGTGGTGAGATGGTGGTGGTGGTGTTGTATGGAGTGGCGACTGGCGTGGGGTAGAGGTGTTGTGCTAGAGTTCGGTCTGATTTTAAATTTGGTGCTGATGGCGGTGTCGCCCTCCACAGTTGCATCATTTTCGCTCTGTGGCCGTGTAGGTTCGGTGTGAGTGGCCTTTGTTGGCGCAGTTCGAGCAAGTTTGTGTGTTCTTGCACTGCTTGGTGTTGTGTCCGAAATGGTAGCAGTTGTAGCATTGGTGAACACTGACAAAGAATTCAAATTCGATGTCGCGTGAGGGAATAATGATGTTGTTGATTTTTATACCTTGGGATTTCAAAGGCCAGAGGATATGAAGTAACTATGAAATGAAATAACTAGACAGAACTAATGGAGAAAACTACTTTATAATATTGGAAATAGTTAATTTTACCGCCACACCACCTCGTTAAGTACAGTACTGCGGGCAGTGTGGCATCCTTATAAGACAGTACACAGAACAAGGTACTGATGACACCAAAATTGGACTCTGGCTGAGTAATTTTATATCATCAACACAAGCTGAGTTATATGCAATGTTAGTAGGATTGGAAAATGTTGTAATGAGGAATAAATATGCATATATTTTTGTTGATAGTAGGCAGCTTTGGATTCTTTGAACAGAGGGAGTCCAGTCTTTGAACACATTATTGGTTTATGTAGAAAATTAGTAAATACAATAAGGAAAAAGGCCATAGTGTTCAATTTGTATGGGTCCCTTCACATGTGGGGATTGGTCTTAACGAAGCAGTAGATATAATAGCAAAAAGGCCGAGATCGACATAATATGTATTAAAACTTTGAAACAATTAAGGAGCAAATTACGGAAAATACAACCAATAGAAGATAATTTAAAAAAGATGAAATATATGAGAAAAGTGAAACAATGAAACATTACCATCATGTTCTCATGAACACAAATTTTACATATGGGAAAGATAGGAGCAGGTGGAAAGATTGAGTGTATATGAGGTTAAGATTAGGATATAAATATTATTGGGAACTTGGAGCTGAGAGAAGTGAACAGGATAAAGAATGTTGAGTTTGTAGAACATCCAGATCCCATACCCTGCCACATTATATACTGGAATGACCATTGCTTAATGTATATAGAAATACTCAGACAAATAATGTATCCAAGCAAGTAGCATGGATGTTTAAAAATAGAAAAGTAGATGAAATATTAAAGAAATGTAGAAATTTTGCTTTTAGAAAATAACTCTGTACTATAACTGATTATATGAGATATATCTGTATTAGGGATTTATGGGAGTCCTGAGAGGGACATTCCTGGACTGGGGAGGGGATGACTTATGTCACTTATCCCTTTGAGATGGTTTTTGGCTTTGTTTTTAATCTCAATAAATATATCAATCAACCGGGTTAAAACACGACGACCCTCTTCGAGGGAAAACGTTGTTTAATAATACAGGCGTAAAAGTTAACCATAATGGTGATAAATTAAATAATAATATTATAGTAAGAAACCCTTGTAGTGGATTCCTCCCCTACAAACGCTTGTCGCTGAGTAGCCGACCCCGCGAATTCCCCAGTGTATGCCTCGTGGTCTAGGTCAACCAGCGCCGCCTTACATGACGGAGGTCAACTATTAAGCCACGCCTACCTCCGCTATATAGGACCTGACCTCGTGGTGACCTACTCTCTTTCGACCTACACCAACCAGCAAGCTACACCTCCTCCTCCTCCTGCCTGGCGGCCCTCGCTCCCGCCGGCGAGCATGGCGACCCACAAGCTGGTCCTCCTCTGAGCACCCTCACCAACCAGCTCTCTCTACATCATGCTTGTAACCATGCTGCCTTCCCAGCAACAAGCTGCATTGTACATCCAATACAACATGTATACAGAGAGCACATTATGAGTTTCCTTTCTCCATCCCATCCTGAGTGAACCTAAACAACCCATACCCCACAAATGGTGACTCCAGGAGATTCGCACTCACACAGGATGGAGGAGAACCCGATCACTCTCCCAGTCTTCAAGCAACATGGAAGACTGGCTTACCCACGCAGAGGACAGCTCTCATCGCCTCTACAACTACTGTCTCTACACCGGAGGTTAGACACCCTAGAGCAGCACTGCGACTCTAAGCAGACAGCCGCTCCTCTTCCTGCCCCAAGCACAACGTCCTACCGACCCCAACACACCCGTCCTGCCTCAGACGCCGCCCCGGCCCAGCAGTACCCCCTGCCGCTCCTCCTGACGCGGCCCCTGCTCCTGACGCGGACCCACACACCCCTCTTTTCTCCCCCAGGTACCCCCTGCGACTGTCCTGCACCCTGCTGCTGTCGTGGACCCAGCTGCTGTCACGGACTCTCCTCCGCTCCTGCTGACGCAGGCCCTGCTCCTGAACCAGGCCCACACACCCCAGCAGGCACATCTGACGACTCAGTACTTGCCGTGAGAGAAGCACAACATTCATCGCCTCCACACACCCTTTTTCTCCCTCTCTACTCCCACAGATAAACTGTTACAATTCAATTCAATTCAGATATTGTGTATCTAGACAGTTGTCTCCTCTAGCGGCCGGCTCATCCACGCCCTCGCCATTATGTCTCACATGTGGCATGCACCGCCCGTTCTGCCTCACATGTGCCATGCAACCCTGCAGACAACAAGTCTCCTACACCGCCTGGAGGGAAGGGGGAGTATTGTAGTGGATTCCTCCCCT